TGGGAATGAAGCATTAACAAGTAACACTTGGTAACACAAGGACTAAACCTCTGCTACTTCATTGATGATTTGATCAGTGTACTTCCATCACCTGGAGTAAATGCTGACTGAGCTAGACTGGACAGCACCCAGGGAAGTTGAGGTAGGAATATAGGAAAGGTTTTGCATGGACTGAGCGCAGGGCAGCATGGCTAACTCCTCAGATTCAAACCATCAGCCTTGTGTCTCACACCTGCCCACAGCTCCCCACCTGCACTTGAGAGGAATGAAAGCCTCCTGCAGACCTTGTAATGAGAGTTTGACTTTGAGCTCTGATGTGCTTTAATTATCTATGCTCAAGTGATTCTTTCATAGCCACACGAGAACTGAAAATTTTAATACAAATTTTAACTTGTAATATCTTAAGGAAGCCATTATTATCATCAGAATTCGACGTCCTGGATTTAAAAGTACAAAACACAATAGAAACCAAAACTAACTGGGAATAATTGTAATGATAAATAATATGTTTCTTAAAATATACAGAATAGTGATAGGAATTATTAAATAGCAAGATAACACAAGGAGCAAACTACAATCAAAGCCAGTTATGAAGCAGAACAATTATTAGAGGATGTGAACATACTGTCCATCTTGTCCTTCTGCTGGTTAAACGATTCTTGTCTGCATATATGCATATGCAGATGCAGATTAGGTCACCCATACCTAGTGCCTTTTAAGATGCACAAATGAAACAAAATCATTTATCCGATTCCTCAAAGTGTTGATCTAGAGCCAGATAAAGAGATCAAAAGAATAAATAAGGACTGTGCATAATCAGCTTCTTATTAAACATATGAACAGGAGGCCATCATGACAATTTTGCAACTCATAAGCTGAAATGCACTACCATTGCCTTTGAAAAGGAGGACAAAAGCAAAGCAAATCCGTTAGAAAACAAGAAGTCAGAGAATACTTTAAAGGGTTTTTAACGCATTTCCAGTAGAATTTAATGATGACACTGGGTTCATATCAGGTGAAAGTCTGTGATGTCACTTTCTTCTAGGTTTTTAAGTCAAATTCAATATTTTATTGAGTAACTCAGCCTCTGTGACACACTTATGTGAAACATAAGGCAAGGCAACAACCCAGAAGAGGTTATCTGTCCCTTGCTATTGTACAGCTGGATCATCGACTCATCCCAACATTTTTGAAAGATGCCAATGAATCAGAGTCCACCTCTAGTGCTAAAGTGCTCTTTTCTTTCCAAACACAGTTCAATAATACTTCTGGTACTAGCCTATGAATATGATTTTGAATACACAAGAAAAGTCAATACATATGAATACTTTTATAGTTCAGAGCTAAATATCCTTTGAAGATCTCCACTATTACAGCTTTACCAGGTTCACATTCCTCCTTCCTTTAATAGAGTCATCCATCCATTCTCTACCTGCTTCCTCCAGCTCTGGGTCACCTATCCTGGCAAGCCAAGGGCGTAAGGCAGGACACAGCCTACATGGGACACCAGTCCATCACAGGCACACACAGACACAAACACACACACACTCAAACCGGGTCACTTCCCCTAAAAGACACAGTCTATTGTGATTTAGATTTGTCAGTCTGACAATGGCTACAACTGTTACTCATTATCAGTGAATATTTTATAATTTCCCAGTGTCTGATGTGTTGTGTTGATTTCCCTAATTACTGTTTAGATTTATTCCATAGGAATATGTACTGAAAAGGGATTGGACTGAAATACAATATATGCAGGTCATCCTTTCATGCTTTTTGTTAGGCCCTTCCCAGAACCCAAAGAGTGTTGATAACTGTAGTGGTAATAAGACTGAATCCTGCTTATACAGTACACCACAGATTCAATAACTTACTCTAAGAGTCCACCTGCTTTAAATCATGGAATTATTGGTATGCTTTCCATTGAAATATTTACTTGTCATTGTTCTTTATTCATTTTTTTTAAATAACAAATATGCACTTCAATATAAACCAGTTGAGGCACAGATAGTCAGAAAGGCAGTTTTGTTTTTCAGAACAAACATTCTTATTCAAACATTTGAGTATAATGTCACTACTTCAGTTCTAAGCTTTTGAAAAGCTCCTTCATTCAGAACTGATAACCAGAACCACTAGGAGTAGGACAAATTGAATTTGGTGAATTGAGAAAGATTTTGCATGTTACCATGGATAAAGGCACTCTTGTATGGTGTACAAGCTTTGATTCTTCCTTGCTCAGAGCTGTGAAGATGCCAAGTGTGCTCTTATGGATTAGCCGGAAGATTTGTTCAGGCTCTGCTGATCCCATTAAATGGCTAGGAATGCTAATATTTAATCCTAGATGTAAAGGGAACCATAATACACACAGGATGAAGTTTTACAAGGCATTAATGTCTCACCATGGGAATTGTTCCTTCAGTTTTAATTGTTTAAAAACTCTGAAAATAAGATTGATTCAAGAGACAGTTAAAAAATATATGAGTCAGAATTGGGTTTGTCCTTTTGTCATTGCAGTAGGCAGTTCATTTTGTACACCAAGGTGTCATTTTGGTAAATATTTATATTTTAAAGAACAAATGGAAGCTACCTTTATTACATACACCACAACATTTATTTTTATCACATTTATTTTTATCATAGTTTAATATTCAATGTCTTCTTTTATTATGTTTCCAGTCGCTTCTGTGATGTTAATGTATTTTACTATTCTCCTATCTTTGTCAGTCTGACAGAAGCAATATTGAACTGTGATCATTTTCTCTCAATTTCTCCCTCCTTCCTGGCTTTCACAGGCCACACTCCCACAACAAAAAAGAATCAAAAGTAATTAGTAGAGGTCTCTCCCTCTTAATTAAAGCACACATCATGAAGCTACAGCATATCGCCTCTCCTCCTGTGTTCCTGTTCCTCTTGTACCACATACTGCACTCAGATTAGTTTGCAAAAGCTTCCACCACCAGATCAGTGCTAATGGTGTAACACCTCAGTGGTTATGGAATAAAGGGGTAACAGGGAGCAGTACAGTTATATGGTTATAGACTAAGAACCCATGATAAGTTCTGAATCAGCTTGGAAGAATAATCAGTCCAAATCCCAGCTCTTATTTACTTTCCATCTTTATCTTCCTCTCAGTCTTCTGTGCTGGACTAACTTCCCTCAGTATTCTATAGCATCTTTTATTGACCTGTTCTTTTTTACGCTGGAGTGATCCATTTATCATTAGCATTTCTTGAGGATCAATTGTCAACTAATTAAAAGAATGCTCAGGAGACAACAACTCTTTGTGATACATTAATCATAAATTACTGATCGGCATCACTATTTCCCTTTATACATGCTTGATGATTTTCTTCTCATTCTCCAAAATGTGACATGGCAACTACTGTAACTCAACAGTGTGTTATTCTGTTATTCATGATGTCTTATGTAATTACTTAATAATGCAATGTATCCATTATAACAATTAATTCAATTTTCCATTGCTTTCTGCTATCTCAGTGTGGAGGGGTCCTAATAATGACTTACTGATTATTTTCTTTCAAGAACAATATCTACACTTACAAGAGCTTTTTTAAGTTTCCAAGTTTTACAAATCTGCTTGGACGCATGCTATTAATCACACTAATTGAAATTAGACACCGGACCAATTCCCAGCGCACTGTCACATGGATTAGTGTTTCCTGTTTGTTGTGTTCCTGTCTGTGCTCTGCTGTGCAAACACAGAGGCAGGTGTGTGAGCATCTTGCATTGTGCAAAAGCGGCGTGCATTTTCAATTACTTTGGTAGAAGAAGGCTGATGTGGTATTTGGCTATAGGGTATTCAAGAAGTATCGATCCATGCCGTGCTTAAAGTCTGGACTCCCCTCTGGAGGATTCCTAAGCAAAAAAAGATGCATGAGTAATAGAAAAATAAAGAAAAACTGATCTTTACAAGCCTCATGACAATTTAACAAGACTAACGTTAGTCCCTAGATGGAAACACACAATTGCCAACATGTGAGCATGATAAAAAACAAACATAAAGCAACTGATTAAGTTCCTAAGCCAGTACATGACAATAATTTCCTCCACCGCAATCCAGTGACACCATCATGTGCTGGATTAAGAGTTTACTGATCTGGAAATTGCTGTTAGCAGCTGGTCTCCAGTTTTGAATTAATTAAGGACCTAGAAAAGATTCTTTAGACTAATTAAGAAACTGATTCAATTAACCCAAATTCTGACTTCTACTTCAACATATTTCCTCTATCAATAAAGTAGAAAATCACACCTCCATTATGCAGGGCACTTGGAGGTTGTAATATTTCAAGAAAAAACAATGCAATTTGTATAATTGCACTTTAATGTTAAGTAGGACAAATATTGTATAGACATTGCTGGTAACACATTTCCACGTCAGATATGTTTAGTTACTCTCTGAGAGCCCTGGTATTTTACAAGTGATTGAGATTTCCACTTGGTTACAGCCAAAACAACATGGTTTTAATATGAATTTCCAGCTAACATCATGTGCATTATCAAGAACTTTCATTTTTTACTGCTGAATATACTATAGTCCTAGAAATAGTTTGAAAGGAAGAATGGTCTTTCATCTTTAAAAAAGTACCCACACAAGGAAAATAACAAGAAAATGCTACTTAATAATATAATGTAATAATTGATATCACCACTTAATTTAATTTAATGTAATGTAAATTCAGACCTCACAGTTTCGTAATATTTAAGACAGCAATATTTTCCAGCTATTCTGAAATACAATTTTCATTCTTCTGTTTTTCTAAAGTTCTCAGTGCCCTGAAAAAGATCTCCTAAATCATGTATTTTGCGCTAAAAGCATATATATAATGTATATATATTCTCAGAAAGATATATATATATAGCCATATTCTCAGAAAGTTGCTTCAGAGTATGTGTTGAATATTTAATGCCTGTCCGCATGCACTGCACATTCGGTGATATTTAAAGGAGGATGTGTAACACACAAATATGTTCCGTTTCAGATGCAGAATGTTGCCTTGTGCAGAGAAGACCAAAACGAGGTAGAAGAGTCCTACTGTAACTATTGAGGCCTTACCCAGGAAGGAGCACACACTGCTATCTTGCAGGAAAGAGCCTAGAACAAACCTCACCTCCTTCTCATCTCCTTGTCATTCCTGGCTTTCCACCGATCGTGGGAACGTAAGAACCCTGATAGCACCAGCCGAAAACAAGGCCAGCCTGGGACCGAAGGGCTGTGCCAACATCGCTGGAAGCAGCACCAAGGCGTAACTCAGACAGCTCTTCCTGTGTGGCGCTCACTGTGTAAGCATGGACGACCCGTACCACAGCAATTTCTACCAGGGCCCTCAGGGGGGCAGCAACACCTACTCCACCTTTGAGGAAGGCCGGGCCGACCCGGACGGCTATTACCGCGGCAACGAATACTCGGCCCAGGACGAGGATGCGGCCAGCGATGTCACCGAGGGGCACGACGAGGACGACGAGGTGTACGAAGGGGAGTACCAGGGCATCCCGCACCCCGACGAGATCAAGGCCCGCGATAGGGCAGCGCGGGCGGCTGTGCAGGCGCAGGAGGTGAGCGACGGGGCGGTGGGGAAGATGCAGGACGAGGAGCAGCTGGCACACCAGTACGAGGCCATCATCGAGGAGTGCGGCCACGGGCGATTCCAGTGGACCCTGTTCTTCGTGGCAGGCCTGGCCCTCATGGCGGACGGAGTGGAGTGTTTCGTGGTGGGATTCGTGCTACCCAGCGCGGAGAAGGACATGTGCTTGTCCAACGCTAACAAAGGGATGCTGGGTGAGTCCTCAGTTACACAGCAGTGCTGTTCGGAGGGCGTTAGTTTCTGTTGTTGCAGTTCATTGAAGTGAATCTAAAGTATAAGTGAAGACATAGCAAAGTATTTCATGGTAAGTCATATTTGGTTACAGACCAATATGAGACAATAAACAAGCCTGCCTATTTTAGAGAGATGTTAGAGAGGTTAACACAGGAATGAAGAGTTCCCGGTAGTTTTTGTACCTGACCTCTCTGCCCTTGTTTCAATGTGCTTCAGTGTCAGAGAACTTGAACAGAGTTTTGAGTGTCAGTACTGCATTTTCATAAGAAAATAATTATGCATTATGATTTAATTTTAATGAGAAAAACCACATAGGATTTCCACCAGTATGTCACCAAAACAACAGCATATTTCAAAGTAAGGCAATGCACTGATCCAGGCATATGCTATGTTGTCTCAAAACCATCCACAGTTAAAGACATGGGGTTATTTTTTATGATAGATGATTGCTCACACTTAGAGTACAGCTTCCCATTTTAAACATTTAAACCCACTGGTATTCAATGGTTGAACTGGTGCCATTGAATCACTGAAGCCCCCTTATTTTTTTTATAACTCGTCATTTAACATTTTTAAAAAATATAACTCTTAACTGATGCTTTGATCATTCTTAGAGCATCTTTGTTTACTTGTTCTCTCTGTGAGGAGTTATTTTACTGACTTCAGTAAAGACGTAATAAAATCTGTCGTTCTTTTAATTATTTGGCATCAAACTGTTTGATATGTACTGAGAGCTAAATAATGAGCCAAGCACAGTCAGAGTCTGGCTAAGCAGTGAGAACTTGAAAGAGTTCTCATGCAGTGAAGAACGTCCTGTTTCTGTCAATAGGCAAGAGTGGAGTAGCGAACTGCACTTTGTGTAGTTTTTTAATTCAGTGGCAAAAATGCGATTCTCTCATTTCAGAATCAAAGGACAATGGTCATAGCCCATTTCAAAGTTGGTAGCTGCAAAGATTTAGTGTAACTAAAATAATTATGCATGTGGAGACTAATTTCCCTAATAATTCTAAGCAAATGCTTCTAATAATTCAGTCATCTGTGTTAAGTTTGGATGGAATTTACCAGGCATATCCTACTGTACAGAGTAGTTCAAGAATATATTTTAATGGAGTGTAATAGCATTTTTCTTGTTTTCCCAAACTTCAATAAAATTTATTTAAAAAGCCTCTACCATTCAGCTTCTCAGTGCTAGCAAGTATGTTGGCAAACTTTAAATTAAAAACGTATACAGTCAGATTAGCTAATGGTGTAATTGATGGCATGATGAGTCTAGCTGCTTTTTCAAATTCAGCCTTACATCGATACATTCCTGCTTGTGAAGAGGGTGAAAGATTGATGATGCTTTCCTTGCAGAACTACAGGAGGTTTGCTGATGTAGATGTAGATGAAGATACTGCTTTATTGAGCAAAGGCAAGCCTGCTGCATACCAACTAATCAAACAGAGTGTGGATGTGCAGAATACTGATTCATCAAGAGAGGGCCAAGGCACCAACACAGCACTCGCGTCTGATAAGGACCAGGTCAGGAATAGAACCTGCTGCTGATAACAGATCCTCTCATGAGTCAGCAGTGCGAATGACTGTCTGGTCCCCAGATGTGTGTGAAACGCACGTGAAATGTCAGAACCGTGCATTAAGAGTAAACAAATCTTTGAATTGCCTCTTGAAGGAAAAAAAGCTTGATTTTCATAATCCCATTTAAAGGAAAGGGCTTCATCATTTCATACATGTTGTATATACATACAATATCTGTAAGCAGCTCAGAAATATGGGCAGCAAAGCTGTAGAACAAATTCACAGTTAGTAGAACAATTTTCTTTCTTGCAATGATACAAATTACATCTAGCTCCTCATTTCAACCTTTCACTTGTCTTCTGTTTCATCTGCTTTTTAAGAAATACTCAAAATATTTTGTCCCGTTTGTACCATGAAGTATTTCAGAATTCAAAACAGAGACTGAGCTCATAGATCAAAGATCCACCCCCCTCTCCTCCCAGCGGAGAAGAGAATGCAGCACTTCTGTGTTTTTCAGCTGCACTCATGGAAGGCTGAGTCAGCAGGTGGCTCTGAAATGGATATTCCTCTCCCGACCTTGCTTCCAGAATACATAAACCTTGTCCTTCACACTGATTTCCATGGCTGGCTCGTATCAAGTACAGAATGCATTTAAAATACTGTAATGGAACAAAGTAATCTGTCTCATATCTTTACATCACTGTGGACTCATTTAAATAATGTCTCTCAGAACAGGATTGAACCAGGTGTCTATATTACAAAGTCCTGTAAAGAACTCGCATGGGATTTACTTAACATTCATTTGCTGTTTATGCTTAGATGTTCTAAATATTACTGATAGAAAACTTTCAAAAGGAGAACGGACACAGTATTTTAATCCTTTTAGTTTACTAATTTAACCCAATCAGAAATACCTATTCCCATACCCTTAACTGTAATATATTTGAAGAAAAAAAAACTCTGTAGTGCTTTAACTTCATCTTGCACCTGGAGTGAAGCTTCACAGAACCGTGAAGCCTGACATTCTGACCAGAAACGGTCATTACTTGACTTGTTCCAAAACATTTCAAGCAGAATGACAGCTATTTAAATTCAGATACTGTATTTCCCTCTCCTACCCCTCCAGACAAATACTACTACACAAAAAAAACAAACAGAATAACAGAATGTTAAATTCCCAACTCTCTCCACCTTGGACCTGTTTTGTTGGTGTTTTTCTTCTGCGGTCATAGTTCTGTTATTTGTGATGTGGGGGGTCGAAGATGGCGCCTGTGGTTCCAATCAGAGCAGTGCGTAGCATCACAGAGACAGCAGCAGCAGGAGGAGGCCCAGCTTTGCTTACAGAGCAATCGGAACTCACCTCCATATGCTGCTGGCGTGAAACAGGGCCTGTCCCTGCGCTGCCATCATCTTTGTGCCAGGCTCCCTGACGATTGAGCCATCTGCAGTAGTGCCATGCTTTGGCACAGGATGCCAGCTTCCAGATCACAGAGAGCTTGGTCATGCAAGGCCTGGTCACGCAGGGATCTCTGTCTTTAATCCTGCAAACCGACCCATCATTTCGAACAGGGTCTGCATGTGCTGCTGTGACACAAACTGTGGAAAATGTCATTTCCAGACTAAGCAGACATGTTGAAGAACTTTCTATGGAAATACTGGATTTATTTGCTGCTGAGTCAGAGACGTCGAAACACGCTGAGACGATATGCAATTACAAAAAGCAGTCAATCTTGGGAGAAAAAAAGATTTTAATATTGGTCAAATTCTTAAAATCTATCATTTACATTGCGATAACTAAGTTGTGCTTCTGTCATAAAGCAAAAAATGTTATAATTCATTATTTAGATTGGGGAATATGTTCTTTGATGGACAGTAAGTCAAACTATTGAAGTTTTATTGAAAGAACTGAGATTCTTTTGGTTTTAAATGTAGGATCAAATGTTTCACAAATGCATAATCTAAATAAATCAAATTCCATTTCATATAAATATGTTTTCAGATGTCTCATAATGGAAATTGAACACAAGACAAGGCCAGTGACCAACGCCCAGAAAGTATAGTACAAACGATGCAGTTAGAAAAATGAAGCCACTATAACTTATTTCCATGAAAGGATGTATACGAACGTATTCTCTGCAACTTCATCTGATTAATTTAAATACAAATACAACTTTAGAAAATATGTTTACAGAAAATATGTATCAGACATAAACTGAGTAAATTTAAAATAACATAAATGTATGTAAAATATTGTGTGAAAGCTTGAAGCAAAAATCTTGGAGCATCACCCTACAGTATTTTGGAATACTTGGTAATGTTTATTTATTTTCCCATAAAAAATTAGGAAACCTTTAACCATTTTTAAGTTCTAAACAATATTACAAACAAAGAATTATACAGAGTAAAACAGGTATTCTGAAACCACTACATTCCACTATAACCACTATATTCAAGAGACATAATAGATAGACATTTAATCTTTTGTACAATTCCAGCTTGGCTTTATTGCACAACAGCAAAATCTAAGCATGAGCCTGAGCTGTATTAAAGTACACCTTGAAGCAACCTACTCACACAGTCCAGCTGTACCATTAATAATCTTGCCCTCTCATTGCTATTACACCAGCATTATTACCATCTGTACCTTTTGACTTTGGTAGTATTTAACTAATTTTAATGTGCCAACCCAGAATGTTATTTTTAGACTGGGTTCCCAAATGTAAACGCACCTCATAGAAGACTTTTTCCAGCACAATGGACCAAATCTAGTATTAGTCCTGATCATACAACTAAATCTTGCAAATTCAGAACCACATTAGTATCCCAACCTGTATGTCATCAAAACAACAGCATGTTTCCAAATGAGACATTGCACTGGTCTGTTGATGGGCTACAGTATGTTGTCTAATGCCCATCCCTTCTCAAGGATTGAGCGGTTTCTTTAGTAATTAACTGATGTTTTCTGTAAACACATGCATACAAATATACACACATAATATACTCTTCCACCATGGCGCAGTAGGTTACAAAAGTAAGATCACAATGAGTGATACTTTACAATAAATTCACAATAAGACATTTCCAGGATTGTTGTTCACTTTTCTAGTGCAATCTGTCAGCTAAAAGGCACTTTTTACAGTTTTTTTCTTGGCCTTCATTTGATAAAATAATATGTCTCAATAAACTGAGGCACTGTTCAGGGTATGGTAACGGGGATACGTGCTAACTGCTACTCGTTGGTTTGGAGTTGAACTCAGGCTTCAGTGTCTATGTATTATTCATGCAGACTGCCTGGGAACAACATCACGTCATCCAATTTATTATTTTCAGTGAGTTTGTGCAGGAAGCTGCTTTCATTTTCATGTGTAAATGTCATTTAGAAATCCCATGCATGTCAACAATTCAATCTATAAACCTTATGAATAATGACATTTCATCCTCCTCTCCCTGCACTTTAGAGATTTCAGTGAGCCCTCTGCTGGCCTGTCTCCCTAGGTTCAGCTGTAAAGATGAGACTTGTCTGACATCTTACCATTGGGAAAGTTATTGATCTCTTTGCAGGAGCAGAGCTCTATAAAATGGTATTTAAAAATAAAACCACTTTGCCATTATTTTCCAGAATATAATGGAAAGAGTATCCTTTCCTACTGCTTAATATATTTGATTATTTTTAATTATCCATACACATCACTTTCCTGCCTGTTAGCATCTGGCTGTTATTCCCCTTTGGTAAGAGAGCCTGATGGGTTCATTTTGCACAGGCTGCAGATGTAGAGCATATCTCTCAGGGCTAAGGAAAGGTCAGAAATGGAGCCAAGCTCTGTAATGATTTCTCTACATGACTTCTTATCCTAAACCATGTAATTCTCTTTAACAAAGAAGTACATCCTTACACAGTACAAAGTCTGGTTTTGGTGCAAAGGTCAGGAAAGGCTTATTCAGTGTAGAAAACAAGTTACATAGTGTGATTTGTTTACACTAGAGAGAAAACAGAAAGGAGGAATGTAGCAACAAATGAAGGATTCTCAACTTGTGCCCTCTAGTGGATCAGTAAAGAACAACAATTAATAAAACAGTCTCAACAAAGCAAAGCAAGCCTTCTGAATCCACCAAATGCTTCACAAAGATTCAGTTTCACACTGCAGGGGGTGAGACATTGTGTATTTGTTCACCCACTGCCCACTTTCAGTGTGCTAGACCTGGTGAAGGCTGCTAACAATTTCTCAGACCAGGATATCATGTCCCTGCAGTTCAGATTCAAACCCACCAAGCTGGGCTCCACTGAAAATCCAATCTAATCTGACTGAGACTGTTTTGGATCTCAAAAGAATGAAGCACCTAAAGGAAAAAAGAGTGAACTTCATATATCTTCCATTAATAAACTATGCAAAAAATGGCGACATTTGGGCAGTTTTGAAATTTGTCAGTCTTTTTCTAAAGCTTATAACTAAGCTAAAATCTTCATTATAGCATCATTGCTTATTAAATTAGTTACTAACAGGTGACTCAATTAGGTAATTAATTACTAACCACTACTACCAGCTCTTCAGAGGTGCTGCTTAAAAGAAACCAAGAAATCCTGATGACACTCTTGCCAATCAGAATGAGCACTGAAGATCCCTGATGTAATTAATTAAGAACCACAGTATTGTAGGAATAGATGTCAATCTGACAGAAAAATAAAAAAAAACATGAGAATTAATTTCATTGAGACGGAGAGGTTAGACTAGTAATTCTGAAAAGGTATATAAAAAGTTATAAATCCTAAAATCTTTTGTGGAGCATAAAAAAAGACAAGAACAAATGTTCCTCTCTTACTGTAGACATTGTATGCTGTAGTTTGGTTATATCCTCAAAAATGTGATTGAGGGACAAATGTATTAAAGGTTATTGTGGGATTCACCGACTGTAGCTGAGAGAACGGCAGCCTGACTTTAAGGATGAGGCTGACTTAAACCCCCTCATGTCTGTGAGGAATGAGCCAGGGAGCTGCTGCAGGGGTATGGACGGGGTGACGGGAGGGGTGTGAGAGAGACGTTCAAAGGGAAGTCCAGAAGGCAATATAGTGTATATACAATCAATATATACGACATAGGAGAGAAGAAAGAGGTGAGATTAGAATCTAACTTTCGTTACAAATTTCTGTTATACACTCCATGTAGCACTACTGGATAGGAAAAGGTTATTTTGAATCTTTTAATATCATAATAAAAATAACAAACTGATTTGTTTCCAGAATTAATTAATTAATTTAGCATGTGGCACAGTGCAAAGCTGACTAGGATGTGACTTTGCCCTGCAGGTCTGATTGTGTACCTGGGGATGATGCTGGGAGCTTTCATATGGGGCGGACTGGCAGACAAGATGGGCCGCAAGAGGTGTCTGATTATTGCACTGGCCATCAACTCCATCTTTGCCTTCCTCTCCTCCTTCGTCCAGGGATACGACCTCTTCCTCTTCTTCCGGCTTTTCTCTGGCATTGGGTGAGAGACACTGGGCATCTTGTGTGCGTGAGGACTGTTCTCCAGAATATCATGCAAGAGAATCATTCCATTCCTTCGTCATGCAGAGACACTGTTGTAGTGGCACAGGATGCAAAGCTATTGCAGTTTTTTTAAGCTGCTCACACAGATCATTCTTAATGGTGTTTTAAAACATCTCCTAGCGTTGGAGAAAATTAGAATAATATTTATAGGGTCTTATTTAACACCATATTAAAATGTTATAATTTCTGTGATTGTCTTTCTTGAAACGAGGACACATGCTTTCTGTTCTATCGAACACTTTGAGCCTGTGTTTTTGCTTTTAAATGGGTGTTAATTTGAATAACTTAATCGTCTTCCACCCAAGAGTACCAGTTCCTGCCAGGAGCCTGGAATAATACACTCAGTTTTTGTGTGTTTGAGCAATGATATGTCCCACTTCTGAAATAAAGAAACACATGAGCAGCAGGTTTTGTTCTTGAGAGCAGAACAGCAACAAATAAAATAAACAACATTACTAAATGAAAAACAAAAAACATATGGCCTCCAGATGGACTAATGTCACTCAGTAGGGACTTTGAATTGTCAAAAATACAGGAAACTTTCAGGAGCTTTATAGTGAAGGACCAGTAAGCACACAGAAGAAACAAAATAAAATGGTCAAATTTTGGCTGGAATGTAAGCACTATTTTCAAAAGCCTTAACAGCAGTTTCCTTCCCATTTGTCAATACTGAAAACAAGCTCCATGTGGACCCTAAAACTAAACTGACATTTGACCACAGTTCCAAAATTAGTCACTTGGAGGTATTCTTTTTTTTTAGTGTAATTAAAAATACATCACAAAAGGATGTGCGGAGTACAGTATGTATGTTCCTCATAAATCAAAAAGTTACTCTGCATTAAGATGGGTAATGAAATAGACAACCATACCTCTCATTCGGATCTTCGGCTAGCTTTTGGAAGCGTGGGTAGAGTGTTCTGAACAAGGATTCTAGAGGGACTGTTCTGTGTTTCTCCTCAGGATCGGAGGCTCCATCCCTATTGTTTATGCCTACTTCTCAGAATTCCTGTCCAGGGAGAAGAGAGGGGAGCACCTTAGCTGGCTCTGCATGTTCTGGATGATTGGTGGCATTTATGCTTCCTCTATGGCCTGGGGCATCATCCCTCACTATGGTACTGCTACTAGAAAAGAAATGATCCCGCATGTCGACCCCAGCACCATCTCACAGCTCTTCAGAACTGTCTCTTACCCTTCTGCTGAATGTCCTGCCAATGATGAAATGTTCCTCTCTGTAAATCTAAATTCAAAAGCATTGCTTTCTTCCATGGCATTTCATCAGATCTTCATTTCATCTCTGATCCTAATTGCATAATTGAACTAAGTACAAAGTGAATTAAGCTGAACTGACTGAACCAAGTCCTTTTTTTCAGTCACCGTCTCATTTCCAAAAAGCTTTTAAGGGCTTGAGTCCCTAGTCCCAGCATAGTCTTTATACAGAATGCCCATTCACACAAAGATGGGTATAAATAATTTGGGCTGAAATAAAGTTGACTCCCTTTCCTTCAAAGTTCTTAAAGGCTTTTTTTCCAGTAATGAACGTCAATTGTAAAATGCTATGGAGACTGGGGCAAGGTGGTAGAAGAGGTACTGTAAATTATGTGCCCAGGGAGGTACTCCTTGTAAACTTTGTCAGAAGAATTTGTAGTCCTTCAGAGTTGTAGCTATGACTGCTGAAACTAAAACTCCCAGAAACCCATGAGAAATAGTAATTGGTTGACTGATCTCTTGCCCTGGGTTAGATAGTCACAGGTGTTTTTAATGATCTCAGTAGATCTGTGTATAAAGGGGTGTAGCAAAGAAAGCTCCTATCTTTGTTGTGAAACTTATTGTGTTTCTTCTTTATTGGAGCAGTTGAAAAGTGAGACACACCCTTCCAAACCTGAAAACAGCTGTTTAAAGAAGAATCGAGATTTGAGATTCAGTTAATTGCCTTTTGCATCGTCTTATAGATCACCTATAAAAATCACCCCCTGCATGTGTGTTAAAAAAACGCTCATCTTCTAAGAGAGAAACTTCTTTTCACTTTAAGAGCAGAAAACAAGCCCAAACAGTCTGGTAGCAATAATCAGAGACTCCGATTGTCACAGCATATATAAATCAACATCAAGTTGGCTATTGGAATAATTATTTTTTCCCGAATCATTTTCATGACCTTGGAAAAGCATCTGCCTGGGCTCTTCCGGGGACACAGGCTGGCTGCGGCTTTAACTCTAAGTGTTGCTTGTGTTCCAGGCTGGGGCTTCAGCATGGGCACAGAATACCATTTCCACAGCTGGCGCGTCTTTGTGCTGGTCTGTGCTCTGCCCGCCATAGCCTCGCTCATCGGGCTCACCTTCATGCCCGAGAGCCCGCGGTTTCTTCTGGAGGTAAGTGGCAACGCAGGTGAGCAGGCGCCATTGCCATCCCTCATCCCTCCCACTGCTAAAACACTCTCCCCACTCTCCTTCCATTTGTCTGGGCCAGCCAGTAGCACCAGGCGCTACCCAGGCAATACTGACAGCACACCCAGTATATCGGACTAGACTCTAGAAGGCTGAATCCTCTGGACACAGGCACTGTAAAAGCGTCCGATAAACTATAGTTTTCTTCCCCTGACAGAAAAGGCAGTGACCTGGCCTGCAGTGCACTTCTGATAAGCCGCTACCCAGTCCCTCCCTCATGTGCTGCATTTCTATCTGTACTTTTTCGTCTTCCTGTCAGAATGCAAAACACGATGAGGCGTGGATGATTCTGAAGCAGGTTCATGACACAAACATGAGAGCAAAGGGGGAGCCAGAGAAGGTTTTCACAGTGAGTAGACCTTGGTGTTAGTTATGGACTTGACTATTAAATTAAACTACATTTTCGGTACTTATGCTTTACTATAATGACATTTTTTGCTGTCTCATCAATGTTTCCTGCCAATAGCAAATTATGACTTGTAGAAGTCAAATTGTGCTACACCATCATGGTGTCATACCTCTATTACAAGATTTCTAAATCTATACCACCAGGGCAATGCTAAGCAATGTCTATTTTATTAAAAGAAATCAATGTGTGTATTTACGTCATCATTCAGTCAGGGTATGGAGACAGCAAAGTTCTGATTGTTAACCTTCTAGTGCATTTGCTGTGCACAGGATAGGAAAAATGTTGAAAATATGGCATTACACTGGTAAATTGCATTTAGAATATATTACATTTTCTGCACTGTTGTGTAGTTATTGTGTAGGAAATGTGTCCCGTAAGACCATTTTTTTAATGAAGTTCAGAAATAGCAAAAGCCTTGTGGGTAATCCTGAGATCCACTGTCTAGGTGTATCAGGAGGTATGCCTGTTTCCGCACAGCAGAAGATCCAGCATTAATAAAAAGCTGGAGAATGAAAGGCGACAGCTCTGTAGTGCTCTGAAAGCATTCGCTTTTCTCTTTCTAATTCTCCATGTTTTCCTCTGATTTCTCTGAGGTCTCTCATATTAAGACACCCAAGCAGGACGATGAGTTCATTGAGATTCAGAGCTCCACAGGGACCTGGTACCAGCGGTGGATGGTCCGAATCATGACTGTGATCAAACAGGTCTGCTAACAATCTGTCAACATTAACAGAGCCGAAAGATCGAACAATGAGAGGGGCTGCTAGAGTTCTGAGAACAGACCGGATGATTGTCAGTTTTTAAAATATCAAAGAAAGCTGAGGAATATGGAAATGTTCAAATACCCTGAGGTTAATGCTATATATTGTTTATGAAATACAGATTTGTTTTTATAATGTTTATACTTCAAATGTTTTAAAAACTCAAAAGAAGGGATATAATTCCATAGCATCAAGCTAAGCAATTCCAGGACCTCATGCAGCCGAAAGGGCTGAACACCTTTCAGAGAAGCAGGGTAAGCTAATGTGCCTGAGATTCTCTCTCTCAGTGAGGCTGAAAGTAGTCAGTGTTGTGTAAGAGGTAGTCATGTCTGTTGTGGCCTGATGACTTGTGCTCTCATGACCCCCAGGTGCTGCAGAACGTGCTGTCCCTGTTCTCACCCCAGCTACGCCTCAATACTTTATTTATGGCGATCATTTGGTTCACGATGGCCTTCAGGTAAATTTACTTTTCAGGCTTTCTTGTAAAAAAACACAGTTCCTAAAAACACCCGGCTTTGTGAGACGGATGGTTAATTTCAACATGGGTCTCCCCCAGGCGAGGCTGCTGCTCTCTCCAGTAAGGGACAGAGTGGGGGTGCCCAGCTGCAGACCTCCGGAAGCCTGCTTGCATGTTTGGTGGCTTATTGAGTGTCTGAATATTAAGTGCATATTAAGATACTGCTTTTGTCAAGGAATGAGCTGCTGTTATCATAAGTGTGAAATCACAGCAACTTACACCCATATAGTGTCTTCCATCACAAGCAGGACCCCAGCTGGGCTTCCGATCTCACACTGAAGTGCAATCACAAGGGGGTGCACCTCCCCACACCCCGGCAGCCCAACCACAGAGCTCCTTCAGAGAGGGAGCTGGGCCAGGAAAACAGTCCCAGTCGTGCCAAAGAGACACCTGTGGCACTGCTTCTCTGCTTTTTCCAGTAGAACAGTGCAAATGTACAGCAAATAAGATTGAATATCTCTTTGTGTCATAGGACACAGGAAAAACATGCTCTTTCAAGTGCTCCTGGCAGTGAAATAACCCAGCAAAGGCCCGTTAGAGCCCTAACAGCAGACACTGCCCTTGTGTTTCAGTTACTATGGGTTAACCGTGTGGTTCCCAGACATGATTAAGTACCTGCAGAATGAGGAGTATGAGTCCAAGGTGAAGGTCATCCGTCGCGAACGCGTGGAGCACTTCACCTTCAACTTCTCCCTGGAGAACCAGATCCACCGCGAAGGAGAGTACTTCAATGACAAGTATGTTGCACGATGTTTCCCTGATCCTGCCCACGGTTAAGCTCTGCCCACAGACTGCTTTGTGCTACTGTCTACTCCTTTTCCAGCGCTACTAAATTTGATTTATTTAATCATATTCTGAGACAGACATATAGAACTGCAGAGGCCAGGAGGAAAAAAGTGAATTACATTTTAATAGCTTTAACGTTAGTTGAAAGAATATACTGAAAGTAATTCAAAACCCCTTTTCATAATTCCTACAGTTAATTTAATTCTATTCCTTTGAAGACTATTCTCTCTCCCTGTCATCTGTTGTATATTCTCATATATCTGTACGTTCCTCCAAGGAAAAGAAACAGATGCTGTGCTTTTCTTGTGTATGTTAGTTTAGGTCTGTCAGGTGTAACACAAGGAATCCTCTTTGATTTCTGTGATTATATGAAGTCACAGTAAGAGAATTTGTATTCGCTTTCTCCAGGTTCACTAAAATAGAGATGAAGTCGGTCACCTTTGAGGATTCTTTGTTTGAAGAGTGTTTCTTTGAAGACATCAGATCTACAGATACTTTCTTTAAGAACTGCACCCTTATAAACAATGTGTTCTACAATACAGGTAGGAGCGCTCAGAGGAGTGTCTACATTATAGAGGAATGAAAAGTTAGTGTTAGCTGCTAAAATGATAGTAAGTTTAACTCGACTTTTTCCAAGTTGGTGAAATTGAACTATGTTGAAATAAAATAAATAAAATTGGAATAAAAGAGGAAATTGATTATTAATTAGTGCTACTGAACACAAATACAAACTGAAAACCTGTTAAGTTTATTTTTTTTTAGGATTTCATTCGCTTAAAAATCGACATTCAAATTCTGGTTCAAAGTCTAGAAAGATTCCAGGCATGGATCATTTTCTGTTCATTACAGTCTTTAAATGTTTGATAGTGTTAATTAAAATCAGACTCTGCAGTGCACCTCAATTTGGTGTGCCTGGTGTCTTTCCTACAGACCTGAATAAGGAAAAGTTCATTGACTGCAAGATGGTGAACACTACGTTCCTGCACCCAAAGCAAGGCTGCCACCTGGACTATGAAGAAGAAAATGACGTCCTCATCTACCTGGTCAGCTTTCTGGGAAGTCTGGCTGTGCTCCCAGGCAACATCATATCGGCGCTCTTCATGGACAAGATAGGGAGGATAAAGATGATAGGTTAGTGTGGAATCAGCATGTAAATAAGCCTCCAGCAAAATAGAAAAATCAACTGCTGAAACGACCCCCCCTTTTTTAAAACAAACACCCTCTTGAAATTTTGGGTTGACTATTGCCTGCGGGTGGCTATTCGTGTTGAAATCAATCTGTCTGAGATTTCTCAGTTTATCCTAGAGCATACAGTACTGTATATCCCATACCATATACCTGCTAGTATTCACTCCAGCTGAGCTCTGAACATGTCCCACACCATATAACAGGATTAATGTTACCTCTTTCACTGTTCTTCATTCTTAAATGTGTTTGTTGTCTTTTAACTATTGTGTTTTAGAAGTAACTAAAGATCCACAGCTTCTGCATAGAAAGAAAGCCTCTGAAGCCTCTGTTGAGTAATTTGCTAGTTCAGTTAAGGATTTAATCAAGCCTGGCTGGAACAAAAGCCAGGAGGAGTGAGGATTCCCAGGAGCACTGGTTTGGGAATCGCTGTCCCAGACAATACAAAGAATTCACATTGGTGCCGCTTTTCAGATGCAAATCATGATAACAAAAAAGTCATCGTTTTTGAAACGGGGTAAAAGGAATAGAGTGATTGAATCTTGTAAACACACAAGCAGGGAATCAGTCTGCAGATGCCAGGTCCAGTACACACCAAAGAAGAATTAAATTCAACAGAAAGGCTTGTATTTGCAGTTTAACAAGTTCATGATGTATGACCTTACACTGCCGATTCCCAGCGCTCTCACAGAGTGTTCAGGACTTAGAGACACATTTCGGCACACCCTCCTCTGATACGGTGAGGCCGATGCTCGTTTGGGCCGTGCAGATCGGCCTCTCGCGGTGCTTGAGTCACACGCCGCAGTAGTAATTGGATCTCCCCATCTGGGGGGAACCCACAATGTAATGTGCGGGCTGGCTCTCCTCCGCCTGCTGCACAGAGCAGCCCCTGTGGCCTGCCAGGAGCCTGCCCGTCTGCTGCTGATCGATGAAAGCTGCCCCAGCGTGTGTCTCAGGGACATCACTCTGGAATCGGGGCTATATCGGCCACCTGGGCCGACAGGCACTTGCGCGTTCCAAACTCATGACATAGGGAAAGGTCAGTGGCAGTACCACGCCGAGAAAGAAAAACATCCCGATGGGGGGTCCATGACTGCATCAGCTGAGAAGTGACCCCCCAGTGACTCAGTCCCTCTCTCCCTGCAGGGGGCTCCATGCTCATCTCCTCCGTCTGCACCTTCCTTCTGTTCTTCGGCAGCAGTGAGTCTGCCATCATTGGCTGGCAGTGCCTCTTCTGTGGCACCAGTGTGGCAGCCTGGAATGGCATTGAGGTCATCACAGTGGAGCTGTACCCTACTAATAAAAGGTGAGTCTGAATATTCACCCTGACCGACCAGAGCCTCTGCTGGAGCTTATCCCATTCAGGGGTTCACAAAGCAGTAAAAAATCCTTATCACCACAACTTGCAAAACTATTTTGTGCCCGCCCAACGTGCAGAAAACTAGATTAGCTAACAAGAGCTTCACTGCAGGGACCTCACTGGTCAAGATATTTGATTTAAAAAAAAACAATCATCCCCGATGCTTGTGAATAAATCAATATGTTATAAGGTATTATTGAGAAATGTGGTGTCTTTCCCATATGAGGAGTTCCAGGGCAGGTCCTCAGTATCTGTGTCTTCCTGTGCTGCAGAGCCACAGCCTTCGGCGTGCTGAACGCCCTGTGCAAGTTTGCGGCCATCCTGGGGAGCTCCATCTTCGCCTCGTTCGTGGGTATCACCAAGGTCATCCCCATCCTCATGGCCTCCTCGGCGCTGGTGGCCGGCGGCCTGCTGGCTCTCAAGCTGCCCGAGACCCGCGAGCAGGTCCTCATGTAGCGCACCCGCCGGACAGAAGGCGGCGCTGAGGAGCAGCGAGGGGGCGGAGCGCGGCGGCAGGAGGAAATCACGCGAGAGCAGGCGGACGGCTTGCGGGGATTTTGCCATAACATTCAGAGACTCGTTACTGCCCGCGGTGCCCTGTGTTTCACTTTTCGTCTCATTTCATGACATTTCATTCCTCTCCAGAGCAGCTGAAAAAAAAAAACAAACAGCTCGGTCACCCAACTAAAATAGTAATGTGAAAGAGGACGGCGTATTATCGCTCTTCCTCTCTCCGCTGGTCTGTTCATTTCATTTTTTTAGCGTTTCAACACGACCAAAAAAACTGCGGAAATGGAAAACACCAGGAAATCGTCATACTGTATATATATATAACTGTTACGGAGAAAGTTACATTATATTCAGAGATGATATGAGCCAGGGTTTAAATCGAACCATTTATGTTTAAAATTAAAGTTTAGTCTAGTAACTTTAAGACGTGAAATAAGATACGGTAGAAAAGTGAATGTTTCAAAATCTAAAGTTTTGTGTGTCCGACACAGTGCTGTACTTTGTATAAGTCTATCCTTCTGTAATTGGTGATTCTAACTGCTCCTCTCATTACCTGGATCAAGTCACGACAAGCAGTCGTGTATCACAGTGCTGTTTCATGGCGTGGTTCTGGGTTTGGTCAATATGTAATGCGGAATTTGCATCCAGTTTTTCTGGATAATCATCAACCCCTTGAATATAGGCTTGTCCTTTAGGAGCAGTAAGCGAAATCAGAGGTAGCCTTGAACTCCAGCTCAGTTCGCAAGGCAAACATATCACGGCCTCTAGTGGCCAGTTCTTGTAACTGTATAATGATATTCTTCGGTATTTTGCAAGGCCTTCTAATACGAGACAAGACCTGGATTAGAATACCCCTTTCTTTCAGAATCCAAATTACTGAAGCAAAGGGAGAAATCAAATTCTCCAGTGTTTTTAGATGACATGCGCTCTTATGTGGAAGAGAAGGGTCATATATATTAGATCTACCTATGGATCTTTAGTAGAGTGCTGATCTGGAAAACAGTATAGTTTTGTATTTTGACATTAGACATTAATGCGTTGGGTTACAAACTCCATTATAAAGCAAATCCTGTCCTTCCATAGCTCCATGACCCTAAAAACAGATTGATTTTAGTTATAAGTTCTTTTTATAAGCTTATAAGCTTTTTTCTAACATTCAAATTTCACATTTTCTGTTTGTTTTTGAATGGATGCAATAATTTGTGTCAAACATTCTGCATAAATTGGTTACATTTTTTTGTCTTTAAATGTCTTTGACGTAGTATATTTGCTGCAGTTACCCTTACATCAAATAGTTTGCCATTCCTATAGTATGCCAATGAGAACAGATACCAGTACCATTTTTAATTTCTTATCTACTTTTTTCATTAGATGTTGTTCTCTGATCCCCACCACAGAAATGTGAAGGTTTTCTTATAGTTTTAAATGAAGTGATATCAACAGTTGTGAATCCTGAAACTATCAAATGTACATTAAATTACACAAAATGTACATAAAACTAAAACAATGTTAAGGAGAAAATCTTTGCTTAACATTGATGATAGCTGTGCTGAAATAAGCATAAGGGAGAGACTCTCAGCTGCTTCAAATTGTACCTTTAAATGGCTTACAGGTGGGATGCATGTAATTTCCAGCAAGTATCTCTCAACAAAATGTCTATAAATGTCCTTTTCAATGTCTATAATTAATCAAAAAAAATATGGTCTCTACTGCTGTATTTATTGAATGTTTCACTGTAAATAAATACATCAAAGTTCAATTGTAAAAGATTAGCCATTTCTGAATTTACTAAATAATTACTTAATCTGGGGGTAGCTTTCATACTCTGCTTCAGTCTTACAGCAGTTGCCTTTAGGAACCAGTTTCATGCTAAAACACCAAAAAAAAAAACCCTTTCAGCTTCTGTGGTGATAAACCTTTTAATATACAGTCTAGGGGATTTTTCATTAAAAAAGTTTGAACGTGTGTAAAACTCAGTCTGAAAACACTGTCCTTGTGGAACCGTTACCAAATTGTCTTGTATGATAAGAACACAGGCAGTGGACCCTGTTCTCAAGAAGAGCGTAGGGGAGCTCACAGATGAGAGGAGTCCATTCAGCTCGTTTGGCTAATTGAACCCGGGATTGCGTGCAGCTGTTTCTTGAAAGAGGCCAGCGTATCAGCTTCAACAACACAGCTGGGTAGATTGTTTCAGATTTACACAACCCTTTGGAACCACGGAATAAGTGTATAACACGGTGGCGCAGTGGTTAGCTTTGCTGTCTCCTAGCACTGGGGTCCTGGGTTTGAGTCTGGACCTGGGGTGCTGTCTGTGGGGAGTTTGCATGTCCTCCCCCAGTTTGCACGGGTTTTCACTGTGTGCTCCAGTTTTCTCCCACCTGAGAGATATATTGGTAAGTTCACTGGCCTACTGGGAAAAATGGTCCTGGTGTGAGTGTGTCTGTGTGTGTCCTGCGATGGATTCGCGTCCCATCCAGGCTGTGTCCCTTCTTGCACCCGTTGCTTGCTGGGATAGGCTCCCTTGCGACCCCGTGTTGGAAAATCGGTCAGGAAATGGCTGGATGGGCCTCTCATGTTAAGATAATAATTGGCTGGATGGGCCTCTCATGTTAAGATAATAATTGGAATAATGATAGGAAAGCCCCTGATCATCAATATGCTCAATTGACAGTCGACTTGAGTGGAGGAAAAGAAATAGATCCCAATTTTATTGTCTCGATTCTGTGAATGACAAGGTCAACCCACTTTTCAAGGGAAGGTCATCCTCTGACCTTAAATACTTAATTGAACAAATTGTTTGAAAAAGAAGTCACATCACCATTTGTTATAGGGTTTAATAAGTTGTTAATTGAAAAGTACCTGTAAAGCATACAGAAATCCCTCTCTTATGGACTGGAGTATTCCATGTCTTTCACCTTTTACCGTTTAACAAAAAATGATCTGCTATATAATAAAGGCTATTATTGTGTACCATTGATTCATGTTGGTTATAAGTGCATTATTCTGATTTGTTATTTTTGTCATCTTAAAAAAGAGTATGTTGTGAAGAGAACGTCCTATAAATTATCGAGGAAGTAAAAATCCAACGCTTTTGTCGAACACTACCACTGAAAACATTTGAAAATGAATATAATTTGAAAATGATATACATCTCAATATGAATATAAAGGACTTCTCTATATCCACATATACAGCAGTTTGTAAAATCCACTAAGAAGCATTTGGTGTTGGAATCATGAGTTTATGCATTCTCTGCTTTATTAATCATTAAGGCAGTTTTTAGAAATTCCCTTTTCTGGTTTCTTTCTAACTGATATCCACAATGAAGTGTGAACCTTTCACACAGTATGAAACTAGATTTGATCAACTCTGGGGAGGTGGAGAAACGATTACTCCCAAATACATGGGCATTTAGTGTGACTGGAGCCACAGGAGAGGAGCCTGCTCTGTCAGGGAGCAGGTACAGTATTCTGTGTTTACTGTAGCATCAAGGACTGAGCTGATGAGTACAGGTGTTTGTGTATTATTTCAAGCTAATCAATCTGTGTGTCCTGTTGTATGGAAGGCCATATTATTTTCTTGTTTTTATATGTTAATTAAGTGTTGGATTGTGTGTTGGAAAATGGAGACAGGTGCCGACTATCTTTCATTTCCTTTTTTTGGTTTTGTTTTGTGACAGTCAAAATAAAAATATCAAAATATACTTAACTGTATTTGTATTATTACCTTCAAAGTATTTTTTCAGCTGTGGCTTAGGGGAGAAGAGTCTCTGGCAGCAATTACCAATTAAAAGAAACAACATAATTACATTTGGGTTTAAAACCTTCTCACTGTTTAGACTTTAATATATTAATATATAATATAGAATATATTTTTCTGTTTTGGTTGTTTTGGGGTTGTTTTATTACTTTGTGTACATGATATTTTAAAAGATATGAAATTGATAGTTTTCTATTGATATGAATCATGAGAAAGTAAAGCTAATATCAACTGAAGAGACCTCAAATTTTTTTTTGTCAAAGCTCTGAAAGTATTACTACTACTACTACTACTACTACTACTACTACTAGCTACTACTCTGAATGAGAGTGTTAAGTGTTGGTTGGTTAAATCTCTCGTCACTACGCAATAAAATGGAAAATCTTGATAGAGAAAGAAAGCTGCCATGGGCTGCATGTTCAACTGCTTCTTGGCTTGGACAGTGGTTCATCACCGGATTCCCAGCCCCACACGTCCCTCCCCGACAGCCGCGTGGCACTTGTGCAAACAATCCAGCACAGAAGTGTGAGGCAGGGACACCTAGTAGGAGGTACTGTGTACTCTGGCCGGAGTGTGAAGGAATCTCATTAATCCCTTTAGCATTTTCCCAAGGAATGTTGGTGCTGCAGTTCACTGCTGGGACAGGCAGACGGGAGGAGAGGCAGACAGCCCACAAAACAATGTTCTAATTCGAGTGCAGTATCTAAATCAAGGGATAATGTGCTCGCAAGCCATCAAATGGAGACTGTGCACAATTCTGTACATCTCAAAAAATTCACTGATCCTCTGGGATCAGTCCAGACAGATGCAACAAGATACTATGTGGTCTTCTGGGCATGTTGTTCACGGACGAGCTGAAGGAACTGGGCCTTTCCAGGGCTGAGGGGACAAGTATTCAGAATCCTCCAAGGCACCAAAAAAGTCAACCGAAAGGACATTTTTCAGAATTAATAGTGAAAAACAAATCAGAGGACACAGATAGAAATTAAGGAGCATTTTTGAAATTGGGAACAGGAGGCACTTCTTTAGATAAAGAGATCCTTAGATTAATTAGCCACTAACTACTAAATGAGGCAGATGGGCTAAAAGGAATCCAGTGCTCTCATTTGAAACTTTTCTTGTCTTTTTCAAAGTGAACACTGTAATGTTGATCTGTAATAGTAATATCTTACTAATATCTCGTGAAGCTTGCCCTGCCCTGTTTTACTTCATACGCCGGCATTCTGTTTCCAGTTTTTATTGTTCCTGTTTGGTACTCATCAGTGGAACCTAAATAAATGTTCTTACATTAAAAGTTGAATTGAATTAAGCTTTATTGCCCCTAAGGTTAAATACATTTAAAAAATCATAAAAACATATCGTATACAACAATAATACAAAACAACATTTAACAACATCATTTTTCAATCAGAATTCTTCCAGTACTATAAGATAAAAAAAATAGGCAATTAGCTTAAAAAAAGTCTAAAAACAATAATCCCTATCTGAAAACATTTTTTTCAGTACTCAACAATTTAATGCTTTTAGTTATAAAGAAAATTAATACAGTCTTAGTCTTTATACAGGGGACATGGTACCTCCTTCAAGAGGGTTGAGAGTATATTCTAAAAAGAGTGGATGAGAGGGGTCACTGAAGATTTTAAGTGCAAGATTAATAATATGTTTTACGTGTTATAACTTACCATCAATAATAGTGCCAAGGCATTTATATTCATTCACTGTTTCAGTATCAATTCCAGGTTTTAGCCTGCAGGATAAGAACATAAGAAAGGGTGGAAACGAGAGGGGGCTGTTGAGTAGTTAGTAGCGTTACTGGCTTCATCAACTTGGATGTCATCTTTAGCAGAGAACATGTGTGACAAAACACTGTTGATCCCGACATCTCAACACTTTGAGCGGCCTTTAACCACCAAGAAACTGGCTTCCACTGCAACACATACATGTTGCAACATACACTGATCATACAATTATTGAGAAGTCAATCAATACTTGAAGTCAAAAGACTTTTTTAACGTGGGATAACATTTCAACCCAAAATGGACTTGAGTCAACAAAATCTTGATTATTAATACCAAAATCCGGTATTCTTTGCAGATTAAAAATGGAGCTTCTGTTAAAACAACCTTAAAAATATCTGACAGTGGGCAAAGTGGCAGATTAAAGCTCCCATTGAAAGCTTCACTGGAATAAAAATGTTTTTCTGTGTTAAAATCTGTAAACTCAGCACTGTGAGATATTGCCAAAAGGACATTTAAGGGAATCGCTGAGGAATGCTTGACTGTTCATTATTTAAGCAACGAAAAATCAAACCAATAGTGATGTAATTGATACAAATTTAAGACATTATGTGAATGTGCATCTCTCGTATACAGGGATGAAATGTAGAACAGAGACTTCTGTAGAACCAGTTATTTTATTTTGCACTGTAAGCCAAATAAAGTTCGCTTTGAGACTCTCAACAACGATGGTCATAAGACAACAATCGTGAGCACAAGACATTTTAAAATAGTGCCCTAATTTCTTATAACAACATTTATCGTTATAAACAACTTTAGACTGCTGAAATGATCATGTTTGCTTTTCTCCAAACCCCAGCAGAATATTTGCATATCGATCCCAAGGTGACCTTTGTTTCACATTGTTATTGCTACGTTCAGAAATACACGTGTGTGCTGTAAATGTGTGATTTTGGGTCCACTTGAAAATGTTTCCCGTACAAATACATCTTGAGTCACATCATTTCATACCTAGTGTGTTTTTTCTGTCAACTTTGTTTTAAAGTCACTCTGTGACTCTGCTGCTTGAACTGTTCTGTTTGTCTTCTTCTGAGACCACTGCAGTCTGGGATCTTAGCGTTTCTTGCTGCAGACACCTCTGAAAGTTCCAGTAAGAGAAGGGGCTGGAGGACAGGCAGAGAGGTGCCAGTTTTATCTCCAATACTGTTAATGTGCAGCGTCAAAATCTGCACCAGATCCTTACTGCGTCAGAGCCAGAAAGGGAGAAGCAGGGGTTTGGCCAAGGGAATCGTCAGAGCGGTAGTTTTTACCTCCTGTTTTTGGGGGGGTTTTACAGCATCCTTGGGTCTGGTTGTTATTATTATTATGCTTTACATTAGTTACACCACATTTAGACTATTGTGTTCAATTTGAAAGCATAAGATTTTTTTTTTTTCAGATATACTGAGAATAAAGATAATGAATAATCCTGCTCTACAACAAGTCCCTGCAGTTTTCTTCATACAGAACACTATGGTCCCTTGTCCATTCCTCCAACAGAGGGTCAGTCACAACGTGCCAGTGCCTGACTGGACAGGTAGAGGACTATACCAGACACAGAACATTATCCGAAACTAATACTTTAAGAACAATTGATGAAGGGATATGAAACCATGACATTTCTTGACAGTTTTATTATCAAAACAGTTTTAGATGAAAAAGGAAATGAGGTATAAACTGCACTAATCTTAAATAATACATTTCCAGATCCTATATGTAAGTGCACTGGGGTGGACTGAAGTAAAGAATGATATGAAATCTATGTTTCCGAATTTGGAGAAGCATCAATAAAAAGGATCATGGGTTTATGATTACTGACTTCATCAGGACAGTTTGTAACCATTCTCATATTCTTATAAGCAGCAATGCAGATACAAGTGCATACTAAGTAATCGCAGTCCTTTTGAATTGTCTAACTTTTTGCATATTTTCACTACTGCATGTTCTCAGAGCTTCATGTGGGTTGAAAAAATAAAGACCGATGACTGATGCTGGTTTCATTTATTTAATAAACTAAGTCATCCAACATCCCATGTCCCTGTGTGAAAAGGCTAACGCCTCCGTAGTTCAATCAGCACACCTAAAGGGGTGACTAGGGCCAGCTGTGTGATTCCTTTATTAATTCAATTCAATTTTTCAATTCAAGGTGCTTTATTAGCATGACCAATGGGTACAATCAGTGTTGCCAAAGCAAATAAAAATAAAATTAACATAAAACAAAACAAAAAATAAAAATAAAATAAAATCTACAGACATATTACAGATATTTACAAAAAATACCTTTATTAACTCTGTATAACTCACAGACTTTGGCTCTCATCATCCCATCGAAGTTCTCACCACACAGAAACTGGAGACAGGAGTCACGCCCAACTCAGAAGATAAAACATCCTGGAGATAAAAACGTCATTGATGCCCAAGTCACAAAACCATTTCTGAAGCTCTGGGCCTCCACTCAAGTTCGGTCCCACCTGGGTGATGTGTGGCAGCCCTCTGCACTAGCAAACCCACGGCACAGCAGATCAGGCAGAATCACACCTAGAAAACCTCTAAGTTCCGTTCTCAGGTGGTGAACTCCTGGCAGCAAGATGGTCAATAGGTCAAAGTCTCTGCCTTGGTGGTCAGTTTTCCACTGGTGACTTACTGGAAGGCAGCTCCTGCCTTAGGACTGAGATGCAGAATGATTTTCTCATAGCAGACGTGTGAATTGTCACCTCTAATGAGCATAATTAGAGAAACACATCCCTGACGCCACTGGGCTCTCATCAGTGAGAAACAATAATTGCACTTCACGCCACAAGTGGAATTGGGATAACAGAGATCATTCAACTTTTATGCATCACAGTATTCTGTGCTTGGAATACTCATATTAATTCATTAGGAGACTGACTAGGCTATTTCATAAAAATGTTTTTTGTTAGAATTGCTCGTCTTTCTCAGTAATTACCTTTTAAATGAGAAGCAAGTTGCAAAGCACTCCTCTGTTTCTTCCTGGCCCATTAACCTTAAGTAGCAGCTCTGGTTAAAAAAGCAAGTCACTGTTAACAAATATGGTGGTTAAAATAATTCAGCTTTTTAAAGTGTTTTGTGACTAAATTCAGAAACCCACAGAAAGCAGTAAAGCAGATACTGTGTCAAGCATCAGTGCTTGAAACATATTAAAAGGATCTTAAACATCTTGAAAAGGAATTCTATTCTCAGCATTTCTTCAAGACAAAACATCATAATTTATCTAAAGTAACCCTGGTTATAAATACATTCTAATATACACAATATAATAAATACTGTATATCACTTATATGTGCAAAATATCTTAAATTTATAAATCAAATACAATTGACCAGATTTTGTGATGGCGTATTTATCTAACTCGATTGTGTAAAAAACTCATGACTGAACTGCTTTTCACTCACTGAAACAGCTACATGATTCTCCCATAAGAAAGTGAGAAGACGAGATCAGTGCATGAAAGGGACGAAGGAGAACCTGAATAAACCTCTTAAAATTGTAGCACGTGTATTTGTGATGGGATTCGGAAGAAACTGATGTAAAATAGATTAGTCTGCAGCTGGAAATAGCGAACACAGAATGAGAAAATGTTTACAGTTTTGCATGGGAGTAAAAAGTCACACTTGCATCCTGGGGTCAGGTTTTCCCAGGGAGCCCATGTTGTGCCCTGTCCTGGGCTCTGAGACTTTGATGGCCTGAGAAAGCTTGCAGAGGTGTCACTTCACACCTCCAGCCACTACATAAAGACCAGGCAGCCAGGGCAGCAAGCAGAACTGTCACATTCCCCAGACTGAAGCACAAGAGGCAACATGGACATCTCTTCTGCCCAGATGAACTACAGGACACAGTACCAGTGGAACTGTCCAAGCTCCGATTCCGAATTGTACAGTCTCTCCTCTCCAGAGACTGTCTCCCCAGCCTCTTCCATGGACTTTAGCTTTTCTCCCTCCTTCCAGCCCTGTGGCTCTGCCAGGGGTGCCCACTCTGTGTGCCCGCGTGGACTGCAGGCTTCGAAGTCCCCTCTGTCTGGCGAGGAGAGGCTGTTCTCTGTGCAGCCGCTGAGAAAGACCCAGTCAAAGGACCCCAGCAGGCAGAGGCAGAGCGCCAGCGAGAAAGAGAAACTGAGAATGAGAGACCTGACCAAGGCCCTTCACAACCTCAGGACCTACCTGCCCCCTTCAGTGGCTCCGGCGGGACAGACCCTGACCAAGATCGAGACCCTGCGCCTCACCATCCGCTACATCTCCCACCTGTCGGCGCAGCTGGGGCTCAGCGAGGAGGCGCTGGCCCAGAGAGGGGAGCTGGACACCCCAGGGTGCCTCACTGCCCCAGCCTTCCACGGGTGCTACCAGTACAGCTCCATACCGGCACACTGGGCGCCAGAACCCATGCCAGGACAGTGCCAGTACACCTCCACAGCTGCCCACCCAGTGCAGGAAACAGGCCTGGGGTCCTGTGAGTTCAGCTCCATGCTGGGCAGCTCTGATCGAGAAGAGATGCTGAACTCAAGCACAGACTCTCTGCTGCAGTCATCACACTTTGGAGACACAACACAGTCATGTCAGGTACGATTACACTCTCTTCCAACAATCAACCAGCAAGGTTAGGGATTTCAGAATTACAGGTTCTGATTTTTTGGTGACTTTTAGCCAAATTCTTGTCAATGCATTTTTTAACACAGGAAATGCATGTAAAATGGGACACAAAATTAAATACATGCCAGGTAAAGCTCTCAAAAACAGATGCATTTCGAGAAGATTATTTGTGTGTGAAATTAATGCAATTGAATGAGTTGCATTTCTAATGAAACTGTGCTCTTTCTTCTGTTTGTAGGTGTACAGCGAAGACTTCTGTGGTCAAATTCTGCCCCAGGAGTTCTGGATTTAAAGCACTCTGGACAAGACTTTTATACCCTCAGGCTCGGAAGTGCCAGCAAGTTTTACATTCATGAACTTAAAAAGAACAAGGAAAATAACTTTATTCATCAACAGCTTGTTTGAAAGATAATTATAACAAATATATACTGCTGTAAAGATGTATATTTCTTTCTCATTTATGGAAGCTAAGCAACTGTAATTTATTTACACTGAAAATAATATATTTTATATCAAATATCTCTCATGTAAATATTGAAATAAATTATATATTAAAAAGATCACCAGAATGTTTTTTTTTTACTATTATCGAAATATTTTTTTTACAGGTTGAAAAACAAAGCTACAAACACACAAAAATATATACATATGACCAAGGAACAATTCCATGGCACTTAAAAAGCTTTCTTTAGGATCTATGGACTTGCCTAGACGCCTCAGTACTACCTTATACGGACGAGATCCAGTAGGGTTAAACATTTAACTTTACACTTCGTCTCTCTTCTGATTTACAGTATAATAATTGTCTATGTGATTTACTGAGTGCGTTTAATATGTTTCTGTTATATAAAGCTTTCATTTCAAAATAAAAAAATACTTTACCTCATACAATAAAACACAACGTAAGCCCTATTCAATAGTATTAGCGGAAGACAAACATAATTCCTCCTCCGAGAAAGCGCTCTAACTTGGGACCGTACGAGTATATGCTTTATAGTTTTATATTTCTGACTAGAAGTAAAACAGGGGCCTCTACTGGCCAAGAGCTGCAGCGCCCCGGCGCGACTGCGGAAAGGAGTGATCACGAGTGGAAAGGTGGTCAGTTCAGGTCTTTACACTCTTAATTGCACTTCTTGCCCTTGGCTTGATAACAGAACTTCACACCGACATGCTAATGCAATGCGAAAGGCAGCAAGGCCATGTCACAGTTTAGAGACAAGACGGTAAGTGGTGCATTATCCTAACGTAAAAACATCCAGTCCATTTTGAACAATAATACTAATTATATAAAACAAATAAAACGGAGTATCCCAAACTCCAAAAGTGTTGTTAATATTAGTCCATCTAGGATAACAGGTCGGCTAAGTGGTGAAGAGAAGCCAGTAATAAGTTTGTTATCTGCAAGTCTTTTATCGTTATTTCTGAAAACGTATTCTGCCAAAAATATATAAAGCAAGAAAAAGACAAACGGCATAATAAAAACTAAATTATAAAGTGTTTTTAGAGAGGTTGATGTAACACACAAGGTCAGGAGCAGTCTATCTCACGGGACAATCTTGATGATTCAATCTCTGGATAGAATGTACTGTACATGTAAGAAATCTTTCAAACAGAGGAAGGCTCTGAGGAGATGTGCATGGATCTCCCTGTCTGTATTGTCTGATGCACTCCAGTCTACTCCATGGTGGCGCACAAGTACAGCAACCAGCAGAGACGTGAACCTGTAACAAAGAGCTTTCAGGCTGTGTGACTCAGAGCATCACATCACCTTGGATGAAAGCTGAAACAGTGGGTACACTGGACATGACGACAAGGTATTTAACAAGGTTTAAAGTGTCTCTATGTGTTGCAATTGGTGTCATCGGTGATCTCACTCTGGTATTTTATCATGTTCTGTTTTTAAAGTGTACTACATACTGGCACAGACCTATACAGTCTGGAGACTCGATCATTCAGCAGTGCACTGCCTGAACCATTCCAAGTCAAGTGCCCTGCCCAGGAGTGTAATAACAGCATCACCGCCAGGATCTGAACCCTGCTCCTCCTGATCAGACTCCAGAGCCCTAACCACTACTCCTCATTTTCAATGATTTACCAGGCTGGAATACAACACCAAGGTTGTGTATTAACCACTAGTTATAAAAAACATATTCTCTCACTGAAGTCCAAAGTCCCACCACTGGGTTTAACATGATACTGAGGACCATAGTCATAAAGCATTTATCACGGTGCTAAGTCTCTATAAAGACAAAAACAATTAAGTTGTCTCTTGCAGGATGTTAACATAAGAGTGCTTTAGGCTCCTTTTGTATGCTTCCATAACATGTGGAATATGTTGTTTTCATTTTCAAAACAATGTGATCATCTTCTCAGAAATGTTTAATTTTTTTTTCCAATAAGAAGACTTCAGCTCTCTATGTCCTTGGCACAAACACACCAATGAACGCTGTTACAAAAGATTGTGGTCACTGCCCTACATAGGAAAGCTCAAAAACTGTAAAGTACAGCTTTTTTAACAAAGTTCTGTATAATATTGTTTATTCCATGTTAATAAATAAAACAAAACAGGTCACCTACAAAATTCAGCTGAGAAGGGGAATAATGTCTCTTTTTTCCTTGAAATGTACTTTACTCAGCTGCTTGCTTTCTCTAGTTTTAGGACACATCTGACAATGACTTCAGGACACTGCAAATCGCTTTGCCCTCATTTCTCACAGTGCTGTATGAAGTGCTGGAGGTAAACAAAGCCGATTCGTTAATGATCACCAGGCGAATGAAGACGGTTCATTGACACCTAACTGTCTGGAGAAAATGATCCCTTTAAAAGACCTGACTTTATCTTCCCTTATCTCAATAATCCACTAATGCGTTAGAAGCTAGATATGCGACAAACAGAAAAGATAAACAGAAACACTGCAGTGTTAGAAATGTAAGGAAAGATAAATGCTTGTTTTATCAGTGTGTGGACTGTATTTGATGTGCAAATGGAAGGTGTAATACACTGATGAAGTATTGACAAGAGCCTGATAGAAAACCTTTAAGACACTGATAAAGATGCAGGTCTTTTAAATTAGTAAAATAAGGGTCCAGTAAAATAATCAAAAACCTTGTGTCCATCTAACTGGATCTGGATCTCTTGGATGCAAACAAAACTTAAGTCTAGAGACTTTATATCACTGCCAGACTCCCGTTTGTCACATTTTCATGCCCTGAATACCTGTAGCTTAAAACTTTTCCAACTTTTATTTTTGTTATTCACAGAAATTTATTTTAGATTTCTTAAATTAAAATCTGTACATTTCCTAATCTCAATTTTTTGCAACCAAATATCCTAGTGCAAGCTTCTTCTGTTATTAAGGAGGACACCAGACTCATGAACAACTATGTTCAAACAGAACACGCTTTTGAACTTCTAGATCAGAAATTAATAAGTACTAAACTTTGGTTAAATCGATGCCTTAAAATGAACATAGTGTCAAATCCCACACTTCCATCCATGGTCAGGAAGCTGTTTATTCCTCATGAAAACCTGTAGCACAGGACACAAGGAGGTGCTAGACCTTGGACAGGACTCCAGGCCATGGCAGGATACACACACAAGCACACAGATGAACACTATCTGGAGATTAGCCACTTAACCTAGACAGCATTGTCTTTGGAGAGTGAAAGAAACCAGAGCACTTGTATAAATTACAAGTAAGCATGGTAGTGAACATGCGACCTCCACACAGAAGACTTCTCAGCTTGGAATTAAACCCAGAAGCCAAGAGCAAAGGCCACCATGCCATTGTGCCACCTTCTTCAAAAAATAGTTTTCTTTAATATATTTTTGTCTAATTCTAAATTAAAAACATCTCCTTCATTCTCTAAATTAAACTGGCACAGTTGGACATCCATCAGTCCAAGAACAGCAGATCACCTTCAGGCCGTTTTTAAATGCTGACTAAGATTTCAAATAAATGTTTAATGGGAAAATAAATATTTAAAGCTAATGGTTACTTTCCGTTCAGAGCAACTTTAAAATCCTTTTCTGTTTTCAAGATGCCCAGTTTCTCTGCAGCCAGGTGACCCCCCTCGCTGTTCTAAAAGGCTGTATAAAACCTGTAGAGACAAATACATTAGACATTTAATGAGAGCTTCCTCTTCAAGCATCTAAAGTGACAGGGGACAAAGTGAAAATCTGGCACTTTCCTGTGAAGTACCATTAAGCCAGAGCATATTTCACTGAAGAAATCTGCCTCAATGACAGTTTTATTGGTGCACAAAATAAATGTGATTCCAATTATTTAAAATACGGGCTCATTATCATTAAAAAGATAGTTTCCATTACAGTAAACATTCTCAATATTTAGTACAGACCTGAACATTTGAAGTGTAATACTGTGATACAGTAGCTTTCAATTCTAATGAAAAGTAAAGGTGTCAACAAAAATAAATTGAATAGACTAGTTAAAAAAAGAGAAAATATATTCTCTTTGCTTTTTTAATTCTCAAAACTGAACATTCCTTTGCCATAAAAAGAGAATCAACACCTGGGATGTTTCCTTCCCAGAAGCCCTTCCATGAAGTAATAAACTGTCTCATGGGAACATTACCGATTGACCTTCGCTCCCACCCCTTAAAAAACAAGGGATTGCAACACGGAGGTGTCACTTCACACCCTTCTAGGGAAAAACGAAAAATGAGTAATGAAAATAATATATTTTTATTAAAAGCAGTCTGTTTAACTATTTCCACATCTGTACTTCTATCATTTATTGACCTTCATGTTGGTTATTCAAAGATTTGAGTGACAATGTAGTTTATTTTTACTTAAGTATCAGCCAAGGATAACTTGAAGTATCAGACACCAAGGTGTCTGCTCCAGGCCAACACCCTGTTCTTTGAGACAAGGCTGTATCTTCTGTCACAAAATGCACTCCAGGAAGCAAAGCACCAGACTTTTTATTAAAATCTTTAATAGGTTTGAAAACTCTTAAACTTAAAATAAGCTTACATCAAGGATGGCTTTGAAGAAAAAAAGTTTTATTTTATGTTATGCCATTTGCAGAGGACAGAAATCAAAGTTGACATTACTTTTATCTTTCTTGTGCTGTCCTGCAGCATAGACATTCAAATCAAACTATAAACTATACATTTCCGTACCCTTCCAGGAATAATAATAATAATAATAATAATAATAATAATAATAATAATAATAATAAGGAATAATAAGAAAAAGAATGACAGTGATGATAGTGATGATGAAAAACCTTTGGGCGTCTTACTGTAATCATCAAAAGACAAATCATTTTCTAAAAGCTAGATTTTTATATATAAAATTTGCAACGTTTTTTTTTACTACAGATCAATTTGTCATCTTCAGTATGATATTGTAAAACATGAAACAGCATGGGTAAGGAAAACAGTCTGCATGATTTTGGGGGAAAACATTTCCAGTTTTACTTTCTAGCAGACATTTCTAAGGGTTGTTGTGAAATTGATCAAATAATATTTAACATTTAAGCAGACATCATGCTACCTCATGGTAACCATGATATTTCTCCTTAAAAAAGCAAGATTCAACGTGTGGGATCAGACTACTGTTAAACAACCACGGAAGGTTAAGTTCCATTACTGTTGATCTCCACTGCTTAGAATCAGGGGTAAAATATCACACTCTCTTCTGTGGGAACATTACCTACTGACCTACCCCAACCCCTGTGTAACCCGCTGCCTCTGTTTTGGATGACAGAGGTGCTACATAGCACCTCCAAAAACAAAACAGCTAAGATCACAAAAACGTTTTGATTTTAGTCAAAATATTATCTTGACGGGCAAGATCTCTTGAGCAATATACTATTCAGGTTTCTCCACCTCCTGTGGAATTAAAAAACAATTTTTGCTATGAAAAGGGTAAATATTTCAGGACTAAAATTACACGGACAGCATTTCTGTTAAAATTCAATACAATAATCATATCTTCTTATTTTTGCTCTAGCACAAATAGTGGGAAATGTACTTTTTTCTAGGAGAACAACCTCTGTAAATGTATGAAACCCGATTCGTTTTAGTGGAATCTGATGTTCCACCCAGCCCCATAAAATAGATTTTCCGCTGCTGTTGGACCTGCTAGCAGATGCCATGCCTGAAAGTTAAGGCATGGGGATCAACAATCTCATCAGCAGAAACCAGGGTATCAGCTTCAACAACATGGCTAGGTAGTTTGTACCATGCTTCCACAATGCTTTGATGTGTAGGTACTAGGTACATACCAAATACAGAGGTGGCAGAGAGGATTGGAAGCAATCTTCATCTGGATGTTAAATGGTCACTGACTAGACCTCATGCAGTGGCCTATGAGACAAATTAAACCAGAGGTGTCCAGTCCTGTTCCTGGAGAGCAACTCTGTCTGGACGTCTAATCTGTCTCCTAACAATCTCAGTTGGCTCTTTACTGGCTTAACTAAGGCAATTTAACCACTTCTCCCAGCTCTTCAGCTGCTACTGCTGTAAAGAGACCTAGAAAACCTGCAGACACACCTCAAGTGTCCCTCCAGTCACTGCTCTAAGTTTAATCAACCAGTGTATGAAAGATCAAAACACCAGGGATGAGAAGAACTAGGGAGACATTAAACAGAAGAGGCCAGAGAGCAGGAAAGTTCAGAATTCAATATTATTTACTATTTCTTGTTACTTTTCCTAGATGATATTTTTAAACCTGGTTTTTAAAAAGTGATTGGCTAGAATTAGAGATACCACCCTGAGTTTAACCCTTACAGGAAACATCAGGCTGCTAAAGGAATTCGCACTGAAATGTCTGCTCTGCTTTAACACCTTGACTCCCGGATGTGAAGGTGTACTGCTGTTTGAAACATACCTGCCAACAAATAAATCCTGAGATGGGACATTTAAAGAGAGAGTTCCAGACGACCTTCCAACGCGTAGTGTCTCCTGCCCTTGATCTTGGATCACCATGAGCACCTTCTTCCAGCTCCTTCAACCAGGAAATCGCAGGCTCACAGCCTGATCTTTCACACAATGAGGCCAATCTATTCCACTGCACTACATTCACACATCATTCACTACAGCGCTTTTCTTCCTTCTAAATGTTTCTGAAACCCCCCCATGCTACATGCTACAGGACATTTAGCATCCTATTCCTACTTACAGCTTGCAAATTAAGAGATGCAAGGTCTTTATATACACAGAAACACTGCAAAAGTAAATGCATTATTGCAAGGCAAATATTAAAATTAAATGTAATATTGCGACGCTTACACTACTATGACAGATCTAAAGCATTAAAAGGGCTGTAAACATTATTTCAAATATTTCCTAATTCTATTTAGGAAATGTTTTCCAGCATGATCAAAATAAAGAGCCTTGGCTACTTTCATTCCACAAAAGCATGCTCTTCCAGCAGAACGGAAATGTTAACAGTAGTGTAACAGTAGTAGTGTAGTGTTATGCATATACTTTTGCATAAAAATCCCGGATTCCCAATTCTAGATACATTAGTCTATAATAACAGGTTTTGGACATAATATTAAAGACTGTGGTGCCACATCTGTATTAACACAGAAAACTGACATTCGGTGAATTACACATTTCACAGGCTTACTGGAAACAGGCTTACTGGAGCATCACCAGTGTAATGAAGTCACTTGAAGCCCCTCTCTGTGTTTCCCAAGACAACACTGAGGCTGAGGCACTTGTCTAAACACTGGCAAGTGAGAGCTCTTCACACGTCACAGACGGCACACTTCATCTCCACAAGTGTGACTTCAGACTGTGGTGTTCGTGTGTGAAGCATGCGAGATCATTTCAGGGGTTAACAAAATATTGATACAGTACCTTTCCTGACCTGCATTACATATATATTTCTCCTCAAAAATAGTTTACATCATTAACTTCTGTGTTTTATTTTGAGAACAGAACTTCTTAATTTAAAAATACGACAGTTTAACGTATAATCACCACACAATACAACCACCACTGCTCCACCATTAGTTCCTTATTACTGGCATGCTAGCTTCTTATTATTTACTAACTTATAACTCATTATGTGTGACTGGATTTCACTATATAAAACAAATTGATTTACAAAAGACCTGAGTTGTAATACAATTGCAAAAATGCTATCCATAAAACATAAGACAAAAACAAACCAAATCAGTGGCTTTTCCGGGATGCCATCTGCACGATATGAAGGAGAGTCAGTGCGACACAGCACATGGCAGAGAGCGCCCGGCGACGCGCCAAGTCTCAGCTCTCCCCAGCACAAGGAATCCTGGGAGATGGACACCAGGAGACTTGGGGCAAGGATCTGCAGCAAAACTACAAAATATCTTAACCTGCGTGGAAAAGGGGGAGAAAGATAGAAATTCTGCCCAAGAGATACACAGACAACAGAAGCAAAAACAGAGAGGATACACAATGTACCGACAGGAGACCCAGGGTACGGACAGGAGTCTCAGGGTACCAACAGGAAATACAAGGCGTTGACAGGGGACGAGTATTAAAATTGGAGTGATACAATTACTGGAGCAGCAAAAGGATACATGTAAATGTCTTAAATATCTTGAGCTTGGTTTAGCATTATTATGTTACTATACATTATATTATTTAGGAACAAGTAAAACTTTATTACATGCTGAAAAGAGAAGAAAGAAACCCAGCATTTTGGTTGTGGAGACTTCTTCGGTTGTAAATAATATTTTTTTGATTATTTAATATAAAAAATAAGGAGGACGTATAAAGCTGCTCAAAGCTATCTGAATCTCCACCTCTGCAGATTTCTTGTCATAACCCTGTCTTCGTTTCCTCATGGTAGCTGTCGTCTCGCACCCTGGCTAAAGCAGTCTTTCCCAGAGACCCCCTGCCTTCTCCGCATTCACCCCTCTGGGGCTTTGATGTCCTGATGAGGCCGGTGAAGGTGTGACCTCACACCTTGCTGTCCAGGATAAATGGAGGAGCAGCACAGCCTTCCTCAGTGAACTCGCCGCACTGCCAGTGACACAACCTTTCCTCCAGAAGAAAACCTGCAGACATGGACGCCTCTCTCTCCCAGCTCCTGCTCCACGGGGACGAGCCACTCTTCGGCTGCGATGCTCTGCTGGAGCAAATCTGCTCCGTGTCGGACTCGGGCTACTACAGCGCTACCGGCAGCCTGTCCCCGGCCTCCTCCATCGACTCCTGCTGTTTCTCTCCCCCACCTCCGCAGTCTGCAGCGAGGCAGGAGCCCAGAGACCTCCAGCTCCTCCTGAGCACCACTGCTGCCCCGGCACAGAGTCCCAACCCTGTCCAGGCCAAGAGGAGATCCAGGTCAAAGTATCCTGGGAAGAAACGCCAGAGCGCCAGCGAGAGAGAGAAGCTGAGGATGAGAGACCTGACCAAGGCCCTTCACAACCTCAGGACCTACCTGCCCCCTTCAGTGGCTCCGGCGGGACAGACCCTGACCAAGATCGAGACCCTGCGCCTCACCATCCGCTACATCTCCCACCTGTCGGCGCAGCTGGGGCTCAGCGAGGAGGGGCTGGCCCAGAGAGGGGAGCTGGACACCCCAGGGTGCCTCACTGCCCCAGCCTTCCCCGGGTGCTACCAGTACAGCTCCATGCCAGCACACTGGGTGCCAGAGGAAGCACAGAGGTCTCCCCAAGACAATATGCAGCAGTTCTGCATACCTGAGTCCACAGGCCTGAATAGCAAACTCGACATGGACACAGGCTCACCCTTGTCAGCCCTCTGCTTTCAAGACATGCCGTCATATCAGGTATGTGAAGAATCTTCTAAGTAACGATTGCAAACATTTATGTTAAAGATGCCACCATGTTCATGATACAATATTACATACCACAACACGTATTTAATAATACACATTTTATTTACTGGAATATGTTTTTTTTTAAAGCTACTGGGGACTTATTAGTCAAAGTTGAAAAAAATAATAGTTGTAGCAATATACTTCAGTGCTGAAGGAGACGTAAAACATTAAACAGTTGTAAATCATTAGAAAAAAAATGTTTTTCAAAATGTTGCTGAGGTCTAGAGAAATTTTAATTTTAAAATTGGCTAGTTTTTACATCAGCCCATAATGTTGTGTATGCAAAGCGCCGCATTTCGTTAACGTTCCTTTGTTGTTTATGTTCCAGATCTACAATGACACAGGCTATATCGACACCCAGCCGGACACCACGTTCTTCTTATGAAAACTGTTTGAAATTCTAATTGAAAATGAAGTGTATTGGAGCCTCAACCTTCAAAAACGTCATTTGTTTATGAATTGTTATGTCTAATTTATTAGCTTTTTAAAATGAACACCGTGTGATACATGGTACCACAATCATTCCTATTTATTATAAATTGTCTGCTTCTTTATTTATTTTTCTAAGTATACTAAATATCATGTATATATTGTATTATATAATAAAAAGTATATTCTGAATACTTGTCTTTAACATAGCATTTATATTTTTGCTTTTCCTTAATCTCTTTTTTTCATGCACGGCTTTATTCACTATTTGGAGTCACAGGCTCCGGAGAGTGTCAAACGCTAGTCTCGACCAGTTCCCCCTGCCTAGTTAGAAATAAATATTTGAAATATCCCTCCCCCTGCTCCTCTCCGGCCGTGCAGCCCGACCTGCCTCATCTCTCATGCAGCCAGAGAAGGAGCGCGTCCCCCTGGCTGGTCGTCTTTCTCTCACCCAGACGACCTGCAGCTCAAATCCCGGTTTGTCCCACTACCACTACCGGCGTGTTATTTTTGCTTTCACAAACACAAGCGAAAACATTCCGACAGACAAATCTTTCTTTCTCCTCTCACAGCGCACCCAAAGAACAGAAAATGTTTAAGTGAGCTATAGCGCAAAATGGTTTAATGACTTCATAACTTCACTTATTAAAACCAGCCTTTTTTTCTGGACTATTTGCAAAGTCAGCGGTTCTTTTTTATCACGCCGTGAAGCTTTAAACACACGAAACTCTGCCAGAAACAAGTGTCTTTTTTAGTTCTGTCATTTTATAACAGTTATCTTTTTCACACTGGTAAATCTGACAACTAGATTCACCGTCTTATGAATGTGCTTTTATCTTTAGATATTATTTTTCCCTCTGCAAATGTTGCCACTAAATCGCAAGTCATAGAATTATCTGTATTATACACACATACAGTACTGTATGCAATATATACCTTGTCAATTTAGCAAAGCAGCCCCGACTAGGATAAATAAGTTTTTGTTTTCACTCAAATCACATCAAAACGTTTTCTTTTTGTCCGCATAGCACATAGTGCATTAGTCAAAACAGCACAGCAGATATGTCTATTTTGTGTCGTAACTTATTTTAACTGCAGTCCTGTATTTTTGGAGATAAAAAAACCCTTCTGCTAGGGATTTGTGTCATTTAGCATTCACGATCCTTCCTTAACAAACAACTCAAACGGCTGCACGCAGCTGAACGGTTGATTCGGGCTTGCTGAGTTGGCACCTGGGGCACTTGTACAAACACATCCTCCAGAGGTGTGACTCCTGACATCGGCAGGAAACAGATATTAGATCAGAGAGCCTAGAAAATCGCAGGGAGCACAAACAGACCCAGCTCCCCCTTTCCTGAGCTCCTGTTGCCCCAAACCCCAGCGTCTAATCACAGCTTCATGGGCTCACGTTTCACCAACAAAGGGCTGACACAGCGCAAATCCCCAATATTCTACAGTTTCAGCTTTGTCGGATTTGATTATTTTCATCTAACATATCTCAACCATTAAATGTCTTAAACGTTTTTGGGATGTTTCACGACCTAAGCTGAATGGAATCTACGCTCTAAGGTAGAAATTTGCTTTAATCGTATCAGGTAAAATGAACTCTGGTGAAATGTTAGAACTTGGAAGTGCAAGGTTTTGGAAACAAAAACGAAATGCAAAGCAATATGATTCTAAGTGATATAGTCACCTGGATTTATAAAAGGTGGATGTTGCTTAACCAACATGTTAAAGGTCTTTAAAGGGGAACAGACATAATGGATACAAACAAAGTATGTCATATGACATATTAATTTTTTTCAAAAGGTTACTAAACTACTGCAACTAGTACTCTTCCTGATTTTTTATAAATGCTCTAAATTCTGGTACAGTGAGAAAATAAGTGAAGCTTGCAGACAACTCTATTTTTATAAATGGTTCAATTTTAATATATGACTATTAGATATGATCCAATTGTATATGTGATATATATGACAAATGATAGGATTTTTAGTCTTGAAAAGAGAATACTATAAGGGGACTTGATTCAGTGAATCAAGTATTCAAAATCTCCAAAGGCACTGACAGTCAACCCACTGGACTTCTTCATAATCAACAGTGAAACACAAAGGGAAGCTCTGGGAAAATGCTTTTAAAACTGAGGACAGGGGGCACGAATTTATACAAAGGGTGGCAGGAGTATGGAACAAGCTATACAGACATGTTTTTTGGGCTTTGCTATCCTAGCACATATCGGCATATTTTCTAGATCTGAGCACCACAGTCCAGCTCGATGGCACACAGTACTTTAAGGAAGAGTAGTACTCTTGCCAAATCCATTCACTGACTACACAAGCATGAAAAGGGCACTAGCAGACAGAGATTTACACAATAAACAATGTAGGGCTACAGTACTGTACTAATCTCTATTCCTTTCAGAATTATGCCATATAATTACTTTATTTCTCTAATTGATGTATTTTATATACTCTACACATTATACATACTGTATACTGTATAGTGTATTTTGTATTGATGACTGTGAATGTAAAATACAAATTGTGTATTCCCCAATAAACACCGTCCAGACTGCTCCATGTGAGCGCACTGCCCACTCTAGAGTAATTGCAAGTCCAGAGTTCAAACAGGGAAATTAGTGCTCAATTGCTCCTATAATAGACACAATTAAAAATCAATTACGGTAAACTCACCCCCTTAGAAGATGGTAGCCCTTTGAGGTAAAAAAAAACCCAACATAAACACGTGCGTACTCTATACCCTGCCAACAAAGGAGAAAATAACTTATCTTAATATAAATGAATTTCTTTATTCTAGTAATTTTGTCCCGGCTTTTTCTCTACATAACATTTTCATGTTTGGTTTTAAAAGTGGTGTATGCTTGAGGTTAAGCATACAGTTTTATGATAAAAACTGGTTTAAAACACCAAATATACTGTATATTGTCTGTTCCTCAGCGGTAACTATCACGCTCCTCTTCTCAAATCACTAAGGCGACCACCGTCCTTACCCCGGTTCGGAACTTTCTGTGACACATTTTTATATCATGTATCTTCTTCCTCGTTGGTTGAAAGAAAAGATGTTGTTCGCTAAGTTCTAATAGGTCCAGTACTGATGATCAGTTTCAATGATGATTTAGTTTAATCTTCACCTTTTCTTAAGCCTAAAATGGGAGTAAGCTATTGCGTGTTTATGTATAATATCCCACTGTTTCATGATTGTAAAACGGCAACAATACTTCACAGAACGCAAAACACGAAACACTGCTTTAGCTCCAGCAGGATTCGCGACACCGGGGTATGAAACACGGAGAGAATCGGGGCAGCGGAGCAGTGTACCGTGTGAGTCTCAGCGCACGTCTATTTCAGTAATCTCAATACGAACAAAAATGGAGTAAAGAAATCGTCATTTTGACAGCTATTGTTTTTCTTAATAAAAGTGTAGAAACTAGGAAACCTATTTTACTTTAAAATGATGAAAACGAACCACAGAAAATACAGAACATTGTTGATTGTTGACAAATTCTGCATATGTCAAAAATGGTACTGAGTGTCAACAGATAACAATTACGCAGTATTTTGATTTGGTTAGTTTGAAGCACGGCATTCCGTGCGTTTGGAAATGTATCTGAAATTTAAATTAGTTCAAGTTTAAATATTATATAAAGTTAAACTTTTTTGCAGAGTGAGCGTGAATTGATTTCTTTATTTTTTTCATTTAATGCGATATGTAGCTTTGTGAAGCTTTGACTTCTTGGTTTCTGTGTTTCTGGCGTGTTTCTTAAAAACGTGTTCCTGCGGACACAGTGATGCCTTTTCCGTATGACTTAGATGCGCACGGTAGACTGCTTTTCTGTAGCTAGCACTCGGTGGCCCTCAGGATGCCAAGTCTGTTTGCGGATTGCAGCTGTGATCGGCTGTAATACCCCTCACACAGCGACTGTCTCTGTCTCTAGGTCAACGCGAACATCCGACCCGGTGATCAAAGCGCGGCCGTCTAATTTCCTATTTGACACACGCAGGAAGCTTTAAAGTGCTCATCAGGGAGCCATTCGTACCTGGCTATGAACGTTTTACATTCCACACCAGAGGAATGGTTGGCAACGAGTGTGTAATGGAAACACACCATTGCTGTTGTGAAATAAAAACCGCGAAGTGTTCGATCTCCCCATGGTCATACTACGCTGTCCATCATTGTATTTGATGGAGCACAGTTTGTGTTACCTAGATTAGTAGTGTAAACGAATGCTTCTGCATACAGGTAACCTTGCTTTTCAGTGTTTAAAAAAACGAATACGTTAATTATTATTTAATTATTCAGTCTTAAATTATTTTAAAGTCCTATATTTGCAAGGTTTTAATGAAGACTTTTTTTTTTAAAAGAGTACTGTATATATAAATAATAAGCATGAATAAATGGGTCTTCTATAAATATATAATAAACCCAAAAGTATAGTAGTACAAGCTAATTTTAATCCCATGAGAAATGTCCTAATGCGTGTAATATCAGGAAATTGAACAAGAAAGGCAGGGAGCTGAGTGGTGATACTGGCTGAAAGTACCTACTGTACACTGCCTACTCACTTGACTGATCTGTTTATTCTTACATATCAATATCAATGATACCATCTGAGTATTTTTCATTCTTCATTTCCATTTTCGATTGAATATCACAAAAAGTTATCCCTGTGAGCGCAGAACGGAAAGTTGAGTTGTTTTATTACCTTCAAGAGAATATTGATTCTGCATGGTCTTGGGGGGTGGGGTAGTATATTTTAAATATTCCATACTATGAAACTGAAAGGAATTTGAAAATGAGAATCACATTTCTATTTATTTTATTGTTATGCTTTTTCGCTCATTCTGATTTGGTGAGTACCCCTTTCTCCTGTGGGTGAAGTGGAAGAACAGACCGATTCCCAGACCCTCTGTGCCAGAGACCCCCTGCCTTCTCCGCGTTCACCCCTCTGGGGCTTTGATGTCCTGATGAGGCCGGTGAAGGTGTGACCTCACACCTTGCTGTCCAGGATAAATGGAGGAGCAGCACAGCCTTCCTCAGTGAACTCGCCGCACTGCCAGTGACACAACCTTTCCTCCAGAAGAAAACCTGCAGACATGGACGCCTCTCTCTCCCAGCTCCTGCTCCACGTGGACGAGCCACTCTTCGGCTGCGATGCTCTGCTGGAGCAAATCTGCTCCGTGTCGGACTCCGGCTACTACAGCGCTACCGGCAGCCTGTCCCCGGCCTCCTCCATCGACTCCTGCTGTTTCTCTCCCCCACCTCCGCAGTCTGCAGCGAGGCAGGAGCCCAGAGACCTCCAGCTCCTCCTGAGCACCACTGCTGCCCCGGCACCTGTCCAGGCCAAGAGGAGATCCAGGTCAAAGTATCCTGGGAAGAAACGCCAGAGCGCCAGCGAGAAAGAGAAACTGAGGATGAGAGACCTGACCAAGGCCCTTCACAACCTCAGGACCTACCTGCCCCCTTCAGTGGCTCCGGCGGGACAGACCCTGACCAAGATCGAGACCCTGCGCCTCACCATCCGCTACATCTCCCACCTGTCGGCGCAGCTGGGGCTCAGCGAGGAGGCGCTGGCCCAGAGAACCCAGAAAGATGTATCCCTGTCTCCCTCTGTTCCACAGGACAACATGCAGATCAGCATCCAGGAGGACTCTGATGCCATATTTCAGGCAGAGCATGTTCATATGAATTCTCAATTTCCAGTGACATCAGCTGAGCCTTCAAGCACAATGCAGTCATGGCAGGTATGTGACCACAATATATATATGCATTAAGAATAAAATGCACATCTGTGCACAGCTGCAATCTAAGCAATGCCATCCAGTGTCTTAAATGAATGAATTCACTAGAATATTCATATATAATATTTAAATTAGCCTTCAATAAATTTAGATGGGATATCTCCGGCATATAGTTTTAAAATCATTTGTACATAGAAGAGAACGAGGCAAATAAACAGGTTTCAGCATGAGAAAAACATAAATATCCCTAATCTAGACAAAAGTAATATTGAGAAAGACAATTTTACACATTTGCAACGTTTAAAGATTGAAGAAAACATAAAGTTTGCATAGAAACAACTCTGATTATGAACTCCTCCTTATAATGACCGTGCTCTTGTTGTGAGGCATTATGAATTAACATTTTCTCTGCTCTTTCTTTGCAGCCTTCCAGTGGTCATTACAGCCTGACCAAGGGCCTGTCTGCAGATTACTGGTCAGCACCACAGCAGCTGTTGCTACCTGGAGCCTGCAGTCTTTGAGAACTAAGACTTTGCACATGCACTGTGAAGCACACAGCAGCAACACCTTCCTTTAGAAACAGCCTGGGTACGAACTGTGAGACACTTCCAGCTGTGAAATGAATCCCAAAGTACTTTATTTATGTATTTATTGTCTTGTATTTAAAGTTTATTTATTTTATTACTAAGGATGATTAAAAAATAAAATAATTGAAACCTGTACTATATCGTGGTTGGCTTGCAATTCCTTACATTAAAATACATTTACTGTGTGGGATTTAACACAAAGGTTTACAACCACAAATTGATCTTCTACAAGTCTCACTTTTCTTCCATTAGTTCAAAATAATATTTAAATAACAAATGATACATTGAATACATGAAAGAATATTATTTTCTCTTCCCCAAAGTTACTCACATCTAGAGCTCTCAATTTTATTGTGTTCTTAAAATATTAGCTTTGACACTGTACCCTTTTACTTTTCCACTATTGTTGGCTACAATTTCATAAGTATAAGCAAGTCATACCAATTCGTTATGTTTTGTTTACATTTCACTTCGCTGGGGTAAAATCCTTCAGACGATGCGTCAGATTTTTTTTCCTCCATTGTTAGGCGCTATTGCCAAAATAAGAGTTGAAAACAACAAAATTCACTCGCAAAGTACTCACTGTGCATCCATAGTTTTACTGAAGATTAAATTATATTTTAGAAAATGAGATTTTAATCTCACGCTCATTAAATCAATGCACACAGTCTTCATTCAAAATTGGGACCACATGCTGGGTGATTAGACTGTCCAGTCTATCTAATTTAGTGAATCTGAACAGCCATCGCCTGGGGCCTCCAGCACTGCAGTTTCCCAAGTCACTACAGGGCACGCTTTATCACTCTGTTGATATCATTCTCTATCACAGCACATTACAACAGTCAAATCAAAATACGGGGGCATGTTTTAACCACAAATTACTATGAATTAAAATCTTCAGACAACACCACAGATTTGTCTGAACGATATTTCAACCCTTACCACTCCTGTCTTTAAACAATTTTCATAGCAACAGCCCCTGACCAAGGACACTCACAGCACTAGCAGGCTCTGCTTATTGCTTTGACCAAGTGGCAGTCCTAGTGAGACATAAAAAAAAACAGTCACCCTGACAGGGATGTGCAAATTGGAGCCATCACACTTCAAATAAAGGCTCTAAATTCCTCCTAGCTTGCAAAAGATCAAGTAGGCAGAACTGCAAACTAATTGACACTTAAGCCCCTTTTATTTCAGGCTTTTGTAAACAAACAAAGCCTATTAGCTCAGCAAGAACACTCTTTAGATATTCATTCACTCTAGACAGGACTAACATCAGTACACAAATTGACTCTGGTGCTGGTAAATAGGCCTTAATGCACTTAGATAATAAATAATCCTCCATAGTGTGTCACACATGCAAAATCTGTGCACATACACACGCACATGCAAACGAGCACTGTGAGTTTACAGCTCACTTGACCATTGCCCCCATTACCCTACACTGAGTTTGTACAGGAAGGCAAGGCTGCAGCTCCAGAATACTGGCCACCAGTGGTCATCAGCAACCGTCTGCAGAAATGAAGAACAGCACCAGTGGTCTGTACACATGTGCATAGGGCTGAAAGTGCACCTTGACCTTGCACAAAAGGGTATATAAGACACCCACAGAAGTGTGAGTGTGGGTTGGATGAGAGAAGCCAGTGTAGAAGTGCTTGCATTTCGGCAACAGGTACAGTTATTTTAAAGTTAAGTTGTCGAGCATTCACCCATTCAAGGGTGAGACTTCTCAGGAAAACCATTTTACTGCCATTAGTGGTGCTGGTAGACTCCCCTCTGGAACAGACTATCCAAGCCAAAGCGCATGGATAGGAACACAGAGCTATAGGAGGTGCTCACCTTCAGATAAGCTGTTAAAATGAGGTCTTGGCTACATGGTCATTAACAATCCTATGCTAAGTCCTAAATTCTCTATTACTTGGGATCCTTTGGAATGAAAAGCCCTGTATAAATGCAAATAATTATTATTAAGCTAGTAATTATCTCTTTGAGGACTGAACGGTATTCAGTTTACTTCCAAATAATCTCAATTAGTGCATTTAACACATAACCTGCTTAATTGATTATAATAAATAAATCTTTACATCTTTATATATCTACCAACATTAAATAATGACATAAAATAATGATTCAATGGTTAAATCTATGACTTTCTAGAGAAGAGGACTTAGAGTTCGGGACCCCTGGTTCAATACAATACAATACAGCAATTTTCTCTGTTGACAACAGTGGGTATTTTTTCTCATCTATGTTGTTTTTATTGAAAGCCAACTTCAAGCGACTTTGGGTTGTTGATAGAGAATCGGGTAGATATAGCGCTCTCAGCAGTGTGACATCCAAGGCAACGTGTATCCGCTCTGGGTAGGTTACATCTCAGAGATGACACGGCTTTGTTTTGTTGCTTCAATTCTGTTTATGTTAACAGCTTGCAGTATATCTGATCAAAACTGGGAAGGCTTCTGTGAACCTTACACCAATGGAGCACACAACCTCCATTTCTGGCGTGAGACTGGAACGGTCTACTCCAGAGGTGAGGCTACCCCTGAGGTGACAGTCACCCTGCTGCCCCAGTAAATGCCCTACATACACAGACATGAAACCAGGCCAGTGAAATGTCACACTCTCTGGCCTGGGAAAGAGCTTCCTCTGAAACGCCTTCCCTTGCAGCTGCTCTCCCGCACTTTGATGTCTGAAGGTGGCCTGTAAAAGTGTGATTTCACACCGCAGGCCCTGGCGGAAATGTTTTAGATTGGACAGTCTTATTACTCAGCATGTGGCCCCAAATTTGAGCGAGAACCCTGTGCATTGATTTAATACATTTAAGATTGAAATCCCATATTCCAAGGCAAAGTAAGATCATGAATACACTGCAAATGCTTTACATGTACATATTGAAGTGACGAATCCTATTGAATTTATTATATTTTTTAAATCCTATTAGAATTTCACAGGCAAAATCCAGTTTTCATTGCAACATGAAGAGGGGAACTTTGCCATGCCATTGAAACTGCACGTATGCAGCGGGGAATATTCGTGGGTTGAATTCCTGGGGTGATACCTGCATGGAGTCTGTATGTTCTTCCTGCGTTCACATGGGTTTCTTCCACAGTCTTACAAGTTAATTGGCTTCTGGGAAAACTGGCCCTGGTGTGAGTGTGCTAGTCTGTGTCTGTGTGTGCCCTGTGATGGACTGGTGTCCCAGCCAAGGTGTACCCTGCCTTGTGCCCATTGTTTGCTGGGACTGGCACCAGCTCCCTCATGACCCTGTACTGGATAAAGCTGTTAGAAAATGGATGAAACAGAACACTTCATCTTTATCTTGCAATCAAGTTTAACAACTGTGAACTTGCATTCCATCTTTTATGGACTGAAATCAGATAACGCTTATGGGAGAGTATATAAAACATTTTATGACTTGGTCATTTAGTGCTTTTAGCCCAGGAATTGAACTATAGCAGACACTTACAAAACATCTAAAAGCAACAATATCATTTTAAAAATTGGAAAGATTTATTTTTACAGTTTAGTTTTATTTTGGTCGTGCTTAGCCGGCCTGTTATTTTTTAACAAGATTGTTTCAAGCAGCTAACATTTTAATTCTTTGTTTTTCAACTCACACCCAGGAGTGCACAAGAAAACATATCCTCTCAAAAAATTCAATGCCAGGGAAATAGCAGGAGAATTTCAAAATTGATTCATATACAGACACATTTCATAGTTCTCCATAGATGTCCAAACACAAAAATAAATGGAAGGAGTCTTCCCAAATATAGTGCCCGTCTGGGAAGTATTGAATGTAGTTCCAGTAAAACTTGTATGTCTGAACATAACAATCATTTTTTGTTTAATATCTCTAAGAAGAACTGTGTATTACTGAAGTCAAGATGCTCAACACCAGCAGACTGAAAATGATTGGATATGCATAATTGAATTTAATTTAACAAATTGCGGTAGGATTTAACAAATTTAACAAATTTAACAAATTGCGGTAGGAGTCACTCAGCACAAATCCTTATCTTTCACATCAATGTACAGTATCTTGAAGTAATTATTTAAAGATTAATACAAAAATAAATCTAGAGTTCAGTTTGCCAGCTATAAAACTTCTACCTTGAGAAAAATAATATTTTGGAGTTTAGTGCCCTTTTAACTGAACTTCTGGGTTCAGTGCAAGATGTATTCACATAACTTCTGGTTAACAATTAAGAAGTATTTAAAAACAATCTTCACATTAAGGTAGAGAAATACATTCCAATAAGCAGGTGTTTCTTCAGATATGTACAATTATTAACACAGTGTACAAGGTGGTTCAGCAAAGAGGGAGTGAAGGGAGTGAAATTATAGGTTATGTAATGGGTGGGGTTGTCAGCCATTGCGATGGATGAGATGATTGGGAAATTGGAATTGTTTCTTCTCGCCTAGATTATGAAAGACAGGGTTTATACAGGGGCTGTGTTTCTGAAGTTGGGGTTGAGTCTCTTGACTTTGGTGTGGCTTTCAGAGGGAGTAATTTGAGACGGTCTTTGGCTGGAGTTAGTTTCTCCCAGTCTCCAGGCAACAGTGGTGCAACTGGGCTTTTAAGCACAGCCAAGCAGGGTAATGAAGAAAACCACCCCTTCCGCACAGTGCTTTAAACTGCCGAAACCTCTTGCAAACCAGGGCCAGTTTGTTCCCGTTTCCCATGGACGCCCTTCCTCACTGTTCTCCGGGAATCAGGCGCTCACGCAGATGCTTCGGTGAACCACTTCAGCACCGCGTCTTTGTTTTCTTTCACCCACTTGATGTTGGCGCGGGTTCTCTCTTTCGCCTGCTCCAGGGCCCGAGTGCCTGAGCCGAAGCCCACGTCCGCATTGTCCTTCTGGAACTGCTCCAGCTGTGGAGTGACACAGGCGGGTCAGACAGCGGGGGCAGAGCCTTCTGCTCCTGCCACGGCGCATAGGCCACGAGCCCCACGCCCCACGCCCCACCACCGCTGCCAAACCCCCTTCCTTCTGCTCTTCCCATGGGCAGCGCGTACAAAATCAAACTATTTAGACCAGAAAGTCTTTCCAAACCCAGGAACAAATTCAAATGCGGGAAACATAATTGATGACTGACTTACTGTGTCATAAATCAAATATTAACATCAACGACTCTCTTCTCTTTATTGTGTTAATATCCTCTGCTGCTCGTTTGCTTAATCGTCTCATAGTGTTGCCTTGAGTGACATCACTTTCAGCAGGAGCACACAACACCCACATCCTTCCTACCAAAGAATTGCTCTTTCTCTCACTGTACACAGCACACAAGACCTGTGTCCGTACTGTGTGCCTCCAGGCCTGCTTAGCACCCTGTTTTGGCTCCATCTCACTGTAACCCTTAGCAGGAAATACAGCCTTAACGAACCTAAGATGAAACCCACACAAATTTCGCCTCTAGGAAATGTTGCATTGCATTATTAGTTTCAAAATCATTTTGGGGATGGAATGAGGATGCAAAAATTAATAATAAGTTATTTCCTGCAGTAAATGAATAGGTTTTTGTGTGCAGAGTTCCTTCTCACTCAGCTTCCTAGGCTTATGCTTATGTAAGAATGTAATAAATGTGTTATCTGGGCCAAATGGCCTCCTAATGTTTGTAACATTTCCCATGTTCTTTAGAGTCTGCTGCTCCTGACTTCACTGACGTGTCCCAGTGAAAAGGTCTGGAACATAGTTTTCTAGAGGAAGGAGGCTGGAAGAATCGAAGAACAAATTCCTGACACAAGCCCTTTTCAAAGACCTTGGGCTGAGAGTGACATGAGGGTCCCGAGAGCCCCAGCCATGTGAGACAGGTAAGCTTGACCGAACTTGTGAAGTGTTGTCGCAGCACTAATCCTGCTCAGTGCGAGAGGAACTGCACCGTCTGTGCTTGGCTGAGGGGCCGATGTTGAGAAGCAGCCAGTTTGGGGGTTATGACCGAACCTGAATGCTCTAAGTCAGAATCCTCACTATAAGAATGGTAATTGTGCATGGGACGATTTTGAAAGTGCTTACCTGTCTGAGCTCAAACTCTGTTGAAAACCTCTTAGTCACCCCACTTATGAGGTTTGAGAATGAGAATGATCCACCTCCATACCTGTGAAAGGGGCAAAGCACAGCTGTCACCTTAAATGCTCTTCTAGCACAGTTCAATCTCTACAGGGTGTGTAAGGGCCAAACTGCTGTCTGTGACTGAGAACTGTAACAACTGTACATGTGCAAAATGGCAGAAAGAGAGGCTGTAAGATAGTTCTGTCTCCTGTAGCATTGTGATTGAAGAAAGAGGTCATTAATATTCACACACACATAAGTCACTGCAACTGCTCTTAGATAGCAGTGATACCTGTCTAGTATATAGCTCTGCTTGTAGAGAAAGCATGGCTTTTAGGAAAAATCAGGTCACAGGTCAAATCTACACTTAGAGGGAAGACGTGCAGAAATTCACAAGGAGGTCTAACTTACTGGGTGAATATGAATGACCAATGTGCTCGGATAAAGTCCCAGGCCAAAGACTGACCCACCACGTTGTTGGCAACATAGACAATGGTAGAAGTGGCATCCTGCTTTCTGATTTTCTGGGAGTCCAAGGTGTATTCCAGATACCTACATCAAACCAAGGGAAACCAAGAAAAATGAATCTGGCATTCAGGAGTCAAAGAGTCAAAGACCACACACGAATAAGAGATACTGCTGCTGGCGGAGACACCTCAGACACAGGGACAAAAGAGCAAAAGGTGAAAAACTAACAAGGATTCATTCAGAAATGATCAATCAAAATCATGATGTTGCCTTGGTAACGGTGTCAGAGAAGTCATTGAGCAATAAGAAAAGCGTTTCCTCTGAGGTTTGATATTTGTTTCCCACTTTAAGAATAACACTGAAAAAAATTAAGGCAAAAATCTAAAAACATGCAACTGTAAAATATGCAGAATGTATTTGTGACTGGGAAAGGGGATTGTGTTTGTGCACAGGAGCAGTGTATAAACTTGTCCTGCACCATTGCAATTACAGCCCACACCTTGTCTGGTTCAGCTGGGTGTTCAAGAGGATGCTGCCTCACCTGTTCAACAGCCAGGGCTGCTTACTGCAAGCCAGCGCCGCCCGCAGCTTGTCCGTTTCTGTAGCAATGGTGGAACTAGTGAACATCCTCCAGCCAAAGTTCCATTCCTCAGTCCCTCCAGTGGCTATGGCGCTGCAGTACACCGATGTCCTTAGATTTGGGTGGATCCTGATGAAAATAGTGTCATAGTTCAGAACACGGACCTCATATTTTAAAAAACAGAAAAGGCCTATTCCACCAAATTCAGTGCACCTGAGATCCCTCACATTTGTGACTGTGACAAACTCCGCTTGTGCATATCTTGACTTTCTTGGGGCCATGCATGGGAAACCATTGTCTTTTGTCTCCTTTCTTTTTCTGCCTCTCAAGTATTGCACACGTCCAAAGGCTTGCTTTGGGTAGCTCTTACTTGAGAAGCACAAACAGAAGACCAAAAACAAATACATTAAATTTGGTATTGGGGTACAAATAATTCAAGGGATTCAGTCATACTAATTTTTAAAGCTTATCCTGTACAGAATGGAGATTAAGATGGAACGGCACAAGCATTGAAAGCCATGATAAATTTGACAAAGTCTACCCTCTGGATTATTCAATGGTCAGCAATGAAACACAAAACCCCAAGAGCACATGTGGAAATTGTGAGGAGCCATATCTTTACACAAAAGGTGGTGTGTGTGTGTAACACGCTACCCTTCTATGTTACTGCAGCTGATCATGGGTTCTTTTAGGAATCGTAAGGATGAGATATTTAGATGAACCAACATTTAAATAAGCAAGACGGGTGAAATGACCCCCTCTTGTTTATAAATATGCTGGTATTAGATATAGAGCTAGCATCATTTCTAAGGAAATAAAATCCTGGTTGTGACTCAAGTCTTTCCACTCGATCCTGCGATGTGCTGAGAAGTGAGATCTAGAACTAGGTGAGGGCAGTAACTCACGGGTTGACTTGAGGGTTGGCCATCCACTCCCCATACAATTTGGTTGCCAGCTCCTGACACTCCTTGTGCCCATTGCTGCATGCAACTTTGATGGCATTCACCTGGTTGTACCTTGGACAAAGAAAAGAACTAGTGATGACAAACGGATACAGTAAAAGACTGTAAAGGGAAATTATTCAAATATTAGTAGGGCTTCATTTACAATATTGTTTACAATTTTGGTTGCCACATTACAAAATGATATTGCTACCCTAAATTTGGTCCAAACAAGAGCAGTGAGGTTTGTGGAACTCTGGTACAAGCTACCCAGACGTTGGTGTAGTGAAACCTTGTGTTACCTTAAACATAAGAATTGTTACTACTGAGAAGCCATCTGGTAGTTAGTAAATTATTGATCCAAGAATCTCATCCAGTTTTTAATGGAAGAAAAACAGGGTATCTGTTTCAACAACTTGGCTTGGAAAATTAGCAAGATCCTTGAAAAGTAACTACAGCCAACCAGTGCTTGACAGAGTCCTTATGTTCTTAGACCTCAATAACATGGAGTATCAGTACAAAGACAGCTTGAAGGGTAAAGGTGTGTTTTCAGTCCTAAGGAGCAGATCAGACTAATAAGGAACAAATAAAGGTTTATTCCATGCTGAAAAGAGAAGAAAAGAAACACAACGTTTCGGCTGTGGAGTCTTCTTTGGGTGGAGCCTTCTTCTTCACACCTGAAGAAGGCTCCACAGCCAAAACGTTTTCTCTCTTCTCTTTTCAGCATGGAATAAACCTATTGCTTGTTGCTTTGCAGCCTACGCATGCTGACACAGCTACCCAGCTACCTAGATCAGACTAACGTCAAATAACTTAAACTAGAAGAATGGGAGAACACATCATTCAATGAGGAAAGATATATAGGTGGATAATGTTTATTTCAAGGCTCATTGAGTTGAACAAAGGAAAACTGGCAGTCTTCTTTTGGTGCCACTTATTATTAAATTAAATCTTTTTGTCTCTCATCTCTAGAAAACATCTAATACCAGAAAATGAATAGCAGTCATGCTGAAAAGGACATCATTAACAGCAAATTACTATTTGTAATGTGAGACATATTTAACTCCTTATCTTCTTAAAATACCCACTATTTTCATAGAACCATGGTGATTTTCCAGTTACTGCTACCAGTTACAGATTTTTTTTTTAATTTGCCATTAAATAGCTTAGTGTTTTCATGTACCTGCACTTTTAATCACTTCCTTGAAAGAACCGAATCAATACAGAATCCGGCATCAGCTTGTGTGTGTGATCTACAAAGCTGACCATGGAACTACAGAAATACTTACTGTTCAGTGTGTCCTTCAGGGATGACTGTCCAATTGAAAGTGATATTTTCAAAGTATTTAAATAGCGGGGAAACTTGTTTTTTGAGGTAGGCCTACAAAGCAGAAATAAAGACAACAACTGAAAACGTATTCTTCCTATTATCACTTCTACTAGTAACAATAGTAGGGATACAACCAATAGCTGTGGTAAACGCAATAACACCAGCAGTAGTGGCTTCTACAGTTATCACGGTAATAATAGGGGTAATAACAGGCAGTAATTATTGGAGTAGTGATAAATGTATTATCAGTTGTATTTCAATCCAAACACTGCTGAAATACCTCTGTAAGTACATAAGATCCTTATTTTGGAAACTGGTGAAACAGAGTGTAAAGAGAACAACATTATTGAAATAGTATGAGAACAAGAAAGTGCAACATGTTACTGCTCCAATCAGCATCAACATACTGATCCTGGAAGGTCGGGAAGCTCCTCGGGTCCAGGACCTTAGTGTGGGCTTTACAAACTGCAATTCCAGCCACTGGTACTAACCTGCATTGGTCCGTTCACCTCGGTGCGGTCGAACATGAGGAAGAAGTAACCCAGGTTATCGATGGCCGACTGCCAGGGCATGTACTCTGTCTCGTTGGAGAGATATTTGGTTGTACTCAACGCTGACACTGTGGATCTAATTTTTGCCCTTTTAATAAAAATGAAAAATTAAAAAAGTGATTTGTGAGCATTTGGGTGCCAGTTAATAAGTTACTAGAGATCCACACACCCAATGGCAAAAAAAACTGGATCTCAAAGGTACTAAGCTGAAATTAGTCCCCCAAAACTCTGAAAACGGTCTATCTTGGGCCTCCTGAGTTTCTCAGGTGATAAAGACCGAGCTCTACGATCGCAGATTCGAGTCTGGGTTATGTCCCTAACCACTGTGAACAGAATTCCCGGGCTCTCTGGGCGCTCTGTCACAATTGCAGGCTCCCGGGCTCTCCGGGTGCTCTGTCACACCTGCAGGCTTCCGGGCTCTCTGGGCACTCTGTCACACCTGTAGGTTCCCGGGCTCTTGCTGGACTCATAGCTGCGAGCCCAGTATTGAAAGAGACACAAATGAATTTTCCGAATTGTGTGCGTGTAACAAAATGTTTTAAACTGATTTTTTTTTAAATCTCATTCATTTACACTGGAGTGGGCGGTTTGCTCATAGTGGAAAATAAGGGCTTATCTCTAACATGAGACCTCTGAATAACACTGGTCAGCCTCTGTCCTGGTCATGGAATAACCCTTCAACTTCTGATTCTATGGCTACCAGCCAAGCCCCAAATTAATTGAGCTCTGAGTAATCTTCTTAGACTTTTTTAACTGCTTTAAGATGAATCTACAGGAAAAGCTCAAGGGGAGCAGGGATGAATTATCTGTGAAAAAGAATCTGGCTTCCTGCAGTGGGATACCATTAGCTACAGATATACTACAAACCCATTCAAATTAAATTGAGCACAGTCCTTATCACTGTGTACTGGCTGATAAAGATAAGATGAGCAAGCTCGAACACATTAGAATGACTCTTCTCAGGAATGTCTGTGTTTCAAAGCCACTATACTCACCTTGCCAGATTAAATGCATCATCCACCAGTTGAGCTCTGTTAATAACTGGGATGTTCTACAAATAAAAAAAAAGTTTTAATGGTTTAAAAGTTACAGTATAAATAAGAAGTCATACATCCAATACAGTAATTCATTAGCATCCACCAAGTGTATAGATCTGTGCCCACTCTCAGCAGCTTGAGGGCACAGGCTGACATCTGTTGTGAGTTCATGTCTCCAGCATGTCTGTTTCAAGAATACCATGCTGTAGCAGTCCTTAATCTGTCAGAACGAGGACTGACTTGAACAAGCCTGAAGCAAACACCTAGGTCAACAACCCCAGCCTTAAGACCTCATTACATCAGGCAGTGTCCTGGCATCTTTTAACCCTTGTGACAGTATCCTGGTAAGACTACCTCGTTTAACACCTCCAGCAGCCTCTTGTTACTGTTCTACTGGCCTCCTGGCAATGTGCTGGTCAGAGCAGATCCTACTCCTAACAACGAGGGCTGAGCAATATCCAATCAGAGAACTGAAGTGTGTCACATGACTCTGAGCCCAACAGCAAGAGCGTCACTACAGAAACTACTGTCACCTGGACTCAAGATAAAAAGTACTGCACTGCAAGGTTAGCAGTCACATAAACTTTTACTGACATGGTAGTGAATTATAGTGGCGATATTGAATGGGAAATGTTAAAAAAAGAGGAATCCATCTGACTCATATACAGTATTTTATATGCACCCACCTAGCTTAGCTATAAATGGCAACTGCTTGACTTGCTAAGGTGAAGAGTAAAGAGAAAAAGACAATCCCTCTGGTGCATTGGTTTTGTATATTCTCATGAGAGACAGTTCTCAAAATTGCTTAGATTAAAGCCAATTTGTACTGAATGCGAGTTGCTTGGTGTAACTGGTGAAATCCCCCACAATGATGTCATAGGCAACAGATTGCTACAGTTTATGCTGCCAGCACACTGACTTGTATAACAAGGCTCCTGAGAACACTACTGTGGGATTTTGAGTGACCAGCAATAAGAACGTTGGTTTAACAACACATGCAAAGGACAGCAGCTCCTACAGCAAGGGTGGGCAATTCCAGTTCTAGTGTACACACTAGTGTGTCTGCAGGCTTTTTTTCCTGCTCAACTCTATCAGTTGAGAACTTAATTATTGCAAAGGAACAAGTAATGGGTTTATTCCATGCTGAAAAGAGAAGAAAGAAAACACAACGTTTCGGCCATGGAGCCTTATTCAGGTGTGAGAAGGCTCCATGGCTGAAATGTTGTGTTTTCTTTCTTCTCTTTTCAGCATGGAATAAACATATTACTTGTTCTTTTGCAGCCTACGCATGCTGACGCAGCTCCCCACCTGAACTACTTCAACTTAATTACTGGCCAAGATTTGGCTTAAACAGACCAATTTCACATCCTCTTCCAGCTCTTTAGGTGCTGCTGCTTTGAAAGTACCTAAAACACCTGCAGTGCCCCCAGCCCTCCAGGACCAGGACTGTCCATCACTGACCTACAGCACAGTGTCTCCAGCCACCACGTGGCGGCACTCATTTGAAACAGTGACACCTAGTGGCCCATGATCGCCACTCCAGCTACAAGATGATCTGTCTTGCGGAGTATCTAAGACCCAAGGAGGGATCACACAGCTAAGCCATCAAGGCCAGGCAACCACTTCAACAAGGTGCTTTTGAACAACTCAGAACTGGTTGTAGGACGTCCACTTCTGCTAAACTCCTGCACAGTCTCCAAGGACTACACACACCTGGGCACAGGTGCGTCGTCTGCGTGGCACAGATTTTAACCAGAACACCAGGATTTACCTCATGATTAACTTCCAGCTGCCTGAGGAGTTTGTTCCAGTTGTTCTCATCATAGTTCACCCTGAAGTATCCAGTTACATTGATGTTGGCAAGCAACCAGTCTGTGTTGCTCATTATCATGTTTTGATTGGTGTCTGTGTGGACAGAAGTCAATGAAGAGACAAAGAAAAATCTGAATATCCACTCCGCTCCCTCTGCCTCCACTCTGTAAACACCAGATCACTGTGGGTAAGGCGGTCAGGCGCTTAAGTCTGCTGTCATTTTCTCACATTATTTTTTTTATTGCTCTTCACAAATATTTCCCTGCTTTGGGGCACAGCAAGGAAAGACAAAATTTTTGCCTATTAATATCAGAACTGTATGATCCCAATGAAACCTTCCTCTTTTCCACAGAAAAACAAAAACTGCACCCCACCCACTTTCAGCAGAACTGTCCCTGTATTAAATAATAAAATGTGCCAATCTGGGGGCATTTATTAGCAATATGTTATGATACCACTACATAAAATATTTTTGGAATATTTGATTTAGTCTTTTCCTACCTTTGTAGCCATTGTACAGTCACAGTATGGTACTTAAGAGCGTGTATTGTTGGAGCAGAGATCAAGTCACTTTTATCACAACAAAATTCAACAGCCCCTTCTGCTGAGGACATTTTCCTACAAATCACCATAGCAGGTGTCAGTCACCTTATCATTTACCTGCTATCAACAACATGCATGTGGGACTCCTTACTTGAGGAATTGAGCAGCCAGTATCTAGTCTGTATTTCTCCACTCTTCATCCAGCTCATAGGGATGTACCATACGTAACTGGGAACACAAATGAGTTTCCAATTAAAACACAATTGAACACCACTGCATGCAGTCCCTGCCTAGCTCACCTTCAGATATATGAATACTTTTGATACTTCTCGATATAACAGTAATGACACATTGTGGTATTTTTCATAGGGACTGATGTAAGCCTTTTCTTCATCATACTATGGAAGATTGTGCCAATTTGATTAGTGTTGCCTGATTAATCACGGAGGGATGGATAAGATCAGACTAGGATACAAACAGAGGAAAAGCGATCTAGGAGAGGTGGGTGGGTAATGTTTGATCAGAGCCACATTCCAGTTCAAAAACTAGTAAAAGAATTTCAATGGAACCCAGAGCGTAGAAGCCTACATTTCTATCAGCCCTACACTAAAATGGTGCCTAAATACCACTCAGACATTTGTCATTTGTTTTAAATTCCCCAGCCTTAGCACTGACAGCCTCATAGTTTTAAGAAAAGCCACATGCACACTCCCACCTGTCCAAGTTTCCTCAGCTAGCTTACTTGTATATTGATGTTCTGTTGACAACTGAGTCAGGGTCCAGAAGGAAGTGTTTCTGGGATATCTGTCCAGATGTGGTATCAATGGTAACAACTGGGAAGCCCATCTGAAGAACCCAGCGGTTCATGATTTGTTCTACAGTAGCTGGCAATGAAGATTTGTTGTCCACGGCCTTTCAAATGACAAGACAGTGTTTCACTTTCTTTACAGAAACCGGTCCATTAATATCCTTGGCTGTTATAACATGTGATCTTTTAAATGGAGCATTTCCCACTCATAGTTTAGGTTGAAACCAGTTTATAACAATCATAAAAGAAACAATTCCTTAATTACAGTCATGCACATACAGAATGTCAACATTGCATTTTAATATATACACCACAGGATGAACATTGGATTGAATGTTTATTTACTATAGTTTATCAATAAACATTTATAATGATTTTTCCTGCTCTGAGTCCAGACATCGAAATCTGCACATTCAAAGTTTTCCACAAAAAACTACAAATATATTAAATTCTCTGGCATTCAAAAATATCACTAGACTCATTGTGCTTGTTTGCCCCTCCCCAGGACTGAAATGATCAAAATGTACTTTAAGTTCTTGGAAAGACCTTGCACATACAGTGTGTACACTGTACTATGAAGTACTCAACTGTATAGTGACAAAATAAGCCAACACAATCATTTTGCGGAACTGAAAAACTAACTTACTGTTTCCAAGTGATCCCAGAGGTCTGTATATACTGTGTTATTAAATGAAAAATGAGTCAGGTATGCCTGCAAAGAAAAGGTTGTTTATTTCACAGCAGTGGAGTAGTTTAGAGAAGTGGCTTATTTCATGAAATTACATCATAAAAATATGTTTATTACATCATTCAGGACACAATACAGGGCTAAAAAGGGGAGTGTAGTGTAACTCTAAAACTAGTTACTACAGCTTCACTGTAGAAGAGGACAGCTCATTCACTGGCCTTGTGATCAAGTCTAGATCGCAGACTTTGTCTTCAATTATTTAATTGGCATTTTACATTATTAAAAAAAAATATCTGTAACAGAGCAGATCACAGAAAGGTCCACATGTTCTGTGCAGGAAAAATATGTGTGGTAGCTCGTGCCGTGTCTTAATGACCAAATATTTGCTAGTGTACTGTAATGCTCTAGCTAATCCCTACAGATCAAGTGTGATCTTTGATGTCTTTTATGTGTTAATGAAAAGACTGCTTCCAATTTACAGTGTAATAGGAAGCAATACATTAACCGATACATATAGTATAAGTATTTGTGAGGCATGACTGTGCTCAGACTCACGTTAATCCCTTTGACAAACACGCCTTCTGTCAGGAAATCGGACAGCATCCGCAGCACTGAAGCCCCCTGTAGGGAAGAACGAGAGCAAAGCATTAAATCCAGCAGTATTCCTAGCAAGTGGGAGCCCATGTTAGTCCCAATGCCCTGAGCACAGCTACAGTATGTCATTGTGGAACACATCACATTTTCTTTCACGGCACTTTGTGATGGAGGAAGACAGAAAATAAGCACAAAGCAACATTGCTTCCAAATCTGAAAGTCTGTGAATTTCCACTTGTTTCAACCACTGTAGGCATCTTTAGAGCTCAGACTAAAGTCCACACACTGAGTCCAGGATGCAACAGCCAGTAAATTAGAGTTAGGCAGGGAATCCTCTGTGTATTCTGCGACATCTCAGGCTCTTATGAATCGGCAGTGAGGTGAAAGAGAGCTGCATCACTATCCCGAAAGCCCAAGGTACAAGGTAGCTTGAACAGGAACAAGTTAAAATAAAAGGGACACAACATTGCAGTTGTGGAGCCTTCTTCAGGTGTCACATCTGAAGAAGGCTCCACTCCACGGCCGAAATGATGTGTCTCTTTTCTTTCTAGCATGGAAAAAACATTCACTTGTTCCTTTGTAGCCTATGCATGCTGACACAGCTGCCTACTTGAACTTCTACGAATACAAAAGGACAGTTAAGAGACAACAAATAACCCATCAAGGCAGCATGTCTTTGGAGCACTTGGAGAAAACCCAGGGTGACAAACTCCCCACGGAAGTTGACCTAGTCCAAACTCGAACCCGGGGTCCAAGGGTTGGAAGGTCACAGCTTTTAGTCACCACACTGCCCCACAGACTGTTGCTCCCCCAGTGGATACTCATTCTCCTGTGGGGGGGTGTGGGGCTCACAGAAGGAAAAGTGGTGGATGGCTCCAGAGTACATTTCAAGAGAAACCCTGCAAACCTGCCATTCTTCCCTTTGTACCTCAGATGATGGGAAGAGCAGATTAACTCTACTCTTACTACAGGAATCACCTGTCACTGCCTGGCTCCCCGCCTCCTCCTACACAAACTGCGAGTCTCAACATGCTTGGCTTCATCTGCTGGCTCTGTGTTCAGAGCATGCTGCTGCAGGAGGACTGCTGTACCTTGCTGTAAGAGATGGAATCGAAAAGCTCGCTGATTTGCGCCGGCGTTTGGATCTCGTCTTCCGTTGAGGAGAGAGGGTGAGAGGAAGCCAGAGCGTCCACCGCAAACACCCTGTGCACATCGTTCAGGACAATCAGGTCTTTCTGTGAAGGACAGACACAGGGACAGTCACACATGCTGGGCGTTTTCACCTAGAGCACACAGCGATCTGTTTGATTCATATTGTACCAAAACTCTACATCCATAAAAACGATCTGAAAGAAAGTTCATGTAACAGAGTCCTAGATATTACTACAAATTAAACAGAGGTATAATCAATCAGCCATTGATGAAGCACAGACCGATCAACAGTATAAAAATGTTATCTCCTACTGGCAATTTCAGATTAATTGCAGAAAGTGAAAGCATTTTGAAAATGTTTCATGTGACAAACACTTTTTTTCTCTTTTTCAATATAGTCTTCTATTTTGCTCGTTCACACCACCTCCAGAAATATCAACTGTTCTGAGCTGTGAATCAATTTTGTATACATTGATGAGAATCACAAAAGGTTGATCAGAAATTCTTATTTGATAAATCGTGTCATTATAAAAACAGCAGAATCTCACTGTATGTCAAAATACAGTATATACTGAAAAGAGAGAAAGTGTCAAACTATTCACTGTGTCACAATCTTTAAGTCAGTTTTGAAAAGGCAAGAGTAGCTGAAATCATCTTTAAAAAAATCCATAGCTATATTCAGAGCCTTCTGCTGCAAAGACACATTTGCTCCAGATTCTCTCAAAGTAAATATAATGGTTTCATGCAACTCAAACTTGGTTTACCCCCAAGCCTAACTTGGCCTGAGTGCAACCTGGAAATCATAAAAAGTGGAGCAAATATGGGATTGAAGCAAAAAGATCTGAAGTTCCTCTTGTTGATCTGCACATTCCTATACATACAATATTCCAGTCAGGCTCAGCAAAATCTGCTCCCAGATATTCCACATAGGAGGCAAAGCCTTCGTTCAGCCAGAGGTCATTCCACCACTTCAGGGTGACCAGGTTTCCAAACCACTGCAAGGACACAAACCCACAGGTGAACGAAAGAAGGGAGAGATAGGACTGAGAAACACAATAAACAGAAGGAAACAGAAACATGCTGTAGTTCTCCTTGTGTTACCATGTGTGCCAGTTCATGGGCAATGACAGTCGCGACTCTCTCTTTGTTCCCATTGGAGGAGAAAGAATCATCATACAAAAGTGCGGTTTCTCTGTAGGTTATCAGGCCCCAGTTTTCCATCGCTCCAGCATTGAAGTCGGGAAGAGCTATCTGGTCTGGAGGAGAAAGGGAGTTCAGCAATGAACACTTTGCAGATGATCATCCCACCCAGGACGCAATAACTACATTAATACCCGTCGCAAAGCCTTTAAAAAAGCAATCCGAAATAGAAACAGTGCAAAAGCTTTTGATTTACTTTTGCTTTGTCGTCCTTTATGACAAAGATGATGTGATGTTAATGATCCACTGCATTAAGTGAGAGGAGTTCAAATTAACCCAACACTAGCTTATCAGTTTTTAAAAGTAGACACATAAGTTGAAATAAAGTATATCTGCCAAGCTTAATAAAAAAATCAAATGATTAAAGCAGTTAAGCAGCACATCGCATGATCTTGTTACATTTGTTTAGTGAGTTTTAATTGTGTCTATGTTAAATGTTCCAAGCACCCAAAAACTAAGAAAATCAGCCTTTTCATCTCTCTTTGGCAACACTCCACAACTTTCACAACACAATTCAAGTGGGACCTTTTCAAATGTATATAGACTAACCTGATTTTGGTAGGGGGTATGTTACATTGTAATACGTTTCAAAAAAGTTCAGAATTGGGCCTGTCACATTCAAGGCATAGTCTCCTTGTTTGTCTTCAATAGCTTTCTTGCGAGCCCAGATTCGAACCTGAGAAGGAAAAAAGCACATTGTCAATAGAGTTCCTGCTACTTGACAAACTTGTTCCCAAGCTACTTTCCAAACTAAAGTCTGAAATTAAGATGAGATTTCCAGAAGTGGTGTAAAGAGGAAAGGATTTCCTTAGGAAAATGAAACATAATTGCAACATCTGTCTTTATTAATGGACACCAACCATATCCACACAGAAAGAAATAGCTTTCATAAACACAGTTTAGATGTCTGTACAACTGTAAGGTACAATATGCTGAAATAAATTCAATTGGGTGTACTGAGATTCAACTGAAAATACAAAATACTGCTTAAGCCTTGTGATGGTATAACAGGTTCAGACCAGACAGCAGCACATGATTCGACTAAGTTCCAGAAGGATGTGGGGAGCTGCTGCCTTCAGTCACCTGACCAGTTGATGAAAGACAATTGGTCATGTGACAGTTTAAAAAGCAGGAAGCAGAGGCCGATAAACTGAATTATCTTGACAGGCCAAATAAGAACATAAGAAAGGTTACAAAATGAGAGAAAGCCATTTGGCCCATCTAACCCATTTGGTAGTTAGTAACTGATCATTTCAAGGATCACATCCAGATGCTTCCTGAAAGAAGAGGAGATATCAGCTCCCACAATATGACTGGATAGCTTATTCAGACTCCTAAATTTCCCCCCTCTCATTGGTGACCTTTCCTGTATTCTCAAAGATGGATCACTGTGGGTCTAATACTGTAACATACAGTAAACACACCTTTAGTGATTGTGTGTTATACTTTGTAAACTGATTTTTGGTTTTAAGGCATACATTCAAATATATGCACATTTACACTAGGCTTCCAGGATATGTCTCTTTCTCCTGCTTTTCCATGTGAAGATCAGAGGGTTAAAAAAAAAAAGAAATGTTATGTATTATTAATCATATATTACCAAAACATCCTGGATTGTGTTATTAATCTGTCCAAAGTCACTGACTATGAAGGCCAAAAGGTATGTTGACATTTTCTCTGTGGTTTTAAACTTAGTGACGGTTACAGACACACTATCGATGACATCATCCTTCACCTCTGAAAACACAAGAAACAGTAGAGAGTGACACAGCATCTTTTTAAGCTTTGGACAAATACAAGACTTTTTGATTTGTTATTCTCTGGAATTTGGACATGCGGGCTGACTGAACGTGCAGGGCTTGAGTCTACCGGCAGCCACTCACAATAACTTCTGTCAGGCCCAGGTCAAAAGCTCAGAGCTCGATCCTGGGCTGTGACTCCGGTCCCCAGACAGTGGAGTGTGACCGGCTCGGCACCGCTGAAGGCTGGGAGGGATTCGCTGGACGGGGGCTCCCTGGGATCACAGCTTCACCAGCACGGTGACCCCTCTGACCTCCAGGGTGCTTCATGCACACAGTGCTATCGTGGGGGGGGGGGACACTCCCCTCCAGGCAGCACTAATCTGCCGCTACAGGGCCATGTGACAAGATGTGTGGCTGGAAGGTGGGCAAATCGGAGGAGTCCGCCTACACTTCACAATCTCCCCGTGTGCAGTCACAGGGTTCGGCGCTATGAGCAGACACGTTCAAATAACACACAGCTGGCGATTCTGAGTAACAGCAATCATCCCAGGCTCCTATTTAAACTAAGTGGGCATTCATCCAGCTGTGTACAGGTCGTAAAAAGTAATTGTTGATTCTAAGTCAACAAAGGCCTGCTTTATGAGGCCCATGCAGCACACTCACCATAGTCCAAACTATTGGACAGAGCCACAGTACCGCGGTCGTGAATCACTGTGATGTTGAAGGTGGCTTTCATGGCAGGCTCATCAAAGCAGGGGAAGGCTTTTCTAGCGTCTGCTGCCTGCATTTGAGTAGTGGCGACCACTCTAAGAAAAGAAAAAAAACAACAATTTTCATTGTGGTGTATTCAATTTATAGTTCTTTTTTTTTTAATTCTGAGGTGGTGGGCACACATCTGATGTTAATTATAGACTATTTAACCGATTTTATTGTGATTAACCATGGTTAGCTGAGGTGACTATAAGGATAAAGACTTAACATGAAATTTAACCACAGTCTCAGCTAATGCTACCAAAGGCCTTTAATGCTCCCGCTTAAATTTGGGCAGTTTAGACAACTAAGATGATGCTTGTTTGAAATCGGGGAAAAGAATGAGGGTAACAATTGAGCTTAGATGCTTAAAATTCTATTAATATCTTTTTACATTACCTGTGACAGATTAACAGAATGTCAGCAGGGTGTGATGAACCTAGTAGGACTATTAATGAGTAGTTGAATGGTTACTAATAAAAGGTTAGATTACACATAAGCAGTGCCTAAACTCTAAAAAAGTGCTGACCTTTTTGATTTGTAGGTGTTTAATACCCGATGAATCTGGCGGACAGTAAAATAAGAAATGCGTTTTGCTGCCTGTAGCTATGTCAGACAGGAAAAAGCAAATTGGATCTGTAAAGAAGTCTTTCAGATGGGGAAGCACATACAATATGTGCTGGCAACCAACACCTTACTTTCAGGTCATTTTGACTGCTTTTCCACTGAACTGCATGATACTGATTCACTCAGCAGAGAAATCCCGACCTTCTCCCCATTGCATTAACAATCCTTCAGAAAGTCCCAACAGAAGCATTCTGATGAGTCTTGATAATATGTGGGACAAAAGAAATGCTTTCTAGGAAAAAAGTGTCCACTACCTATTGCTCTGCAGCAAAACCATTTGTGACTTTAAATGAAACACAACATTTGGATCAGAATACAAACACGAGACATTTACGCTATGCTGCTATCTTTAAGAGTGTGCAAATAGACTGTGAGGGAGCTGTTCTTCAGCATCTATCCCCACAAGTGGTCATGTTCTGTAACCAAATGGCCAATTCATCTTTTCTGCGCTCCAGGGCTCCACATAAAACCGTTAACCTAATCTGTGAATCGATCTGTGAGCATGTGTCTCCCAGAGAAGCTGCAAGCTCGATTTGCTTAGTATTAGATCTACTAGAGTTTAGACTGCAATTAAAATCTGTAAAAAAAAAATGTTAGGTATACAAAGTGGAAGTGTCGTTCTCATGCAAAACAAAGCTTTAAAAACATGTCCTAATGAATACAAAAAACGTTCGCTTACTTCTGAGTTCCATCCTCCTCCGTATATACGCTGCGGTAGAAGCCTGCTAAGTCATCTGCCAGCTCGCCTTGAAAATCAGTGATGAGTTTGTATGACTTCCCAGCTTCAAGGCTGTTTTGGAGCTGAACCACGAGATACTGGGTCTTCACCTCCAGCCAGGTGTGTTGCAGTGGTGGTGCATTTGAGCCACCGTTGCCTTCCAGCTTTGCATGAACCCCGTTCGATAAGGTCAGGTTGAGCTTGTTGCTGTGAATGAGAATCAGGTCTGTAGCCTTGAGACACTTGAAGATGACAGAGGAGCTCCCTGTGAAGATGTACATGCCATTCGTGTCAGGCTTGAGTCGAGGCCAGATGGTCAAATCATAGTGCACGGGAGCCAGGGTGTCAGGCAGCCGGTATCTGTTCCACGGGTTCTGGGGTTGGGCAGTGGTTGTTGGCGTAGCGGTGGTAGTCACTGCTGGCTTAGTGGTGGTAGTCACTGCTGGCTTAGTGGTGGTAGTCACTGTTGCCTTAGCGGTGGTTGTGGTGACACTGTCAGTGGGCCTGGCACTCTCCACATTCTTGGCTTTCTCCTGAGAGTAGACTACAGACAGGGCGATGATGGTGGCCACAGCCCCGGCACCAATCACAATCCCAGCGATGCCCAGGGTCTTGCTGATGTAGTAGCCTTTACCCATGGCTGACGGCTTGCAGGAAGCAGGGGCAGAAGAGAGAGGATCTGGATTCTGCTGGGCTTTTTATTTTGATGGCGTGTCAATGTTTCTGTGTAGACCGGCCTTCCTTCAGGATTAATGGGTGACCTATTAACAGAGCAGTAGGGCTGGTGGAGAGAGAAGTTCCAACGTTCATGCGGATCCTAAAGGGTGATTGGCCCTCCAAGACCAGCTTGCCTGTGACTCTTTCTCGGACAGCCCTTTGAGTGACTCTCCCAGGAGGCAAAAAAAAAGACCAGATGAAATTTAAATTCTTCTTTTTCTGACAGTTCGACTTCTAATGAAACATTTGAGCCTGATATTTCTCAAAGTCACTGGGAGTAACGGCTTTTTTTCCCTTGCACATGACTTTGGAAATTTATAAACAGACTTTAATTCTGAGGCAGAAAAAGTGAAAGCAGTAGTCAGCTGGAGAGAAAAAAAAAGCCTAGAGATAATTAATTAATAATTGTGTTCAATAGAAAGCATTTGGAATATAGTCGGGAAAAATATTAGAATTCACACTTAGCCAGAGAGGTAATTCTGCTCCCACAGGGGGCGCCGTATCCGTAGGTTTTCGAGGTCTCTTCAACGCACCACCACCTGGAAGAGTTGGGAGAAGCTGTTAAAAAATAAGTACTATTAGGTCAACAATGAACTGATTGAGCTAAGTTGGAATGAAAACCTGCAGACACACTGGCCCTCCAAGACTGGCCACCCCTACCTGTAGCAGAGAAACTGCTAAGATGTTCTAAACAAAAAACACACAATGTCCTAACGCATATTCAAAAATCCCTTTACAAAGCCGCAACACTACAGCCACCCGGGCTATCAAATTCATGCACATTCATGCATAAATGCACTGCAGAATTAAATATATCTTTATTCGCTGCTATCAAGTTAATTTTACTCCACAATCATACATGAAAGAATGAAAAGTTTATGGAAACTCTACATTACCCTCATGTAGACAGTGAGAGAAGCAATAAAAAAGAACATTGAAATTCTTGGATATATTTTTACAAGTGCAGCATTTACATGAAGTCATGCTAAAGTCGAGTTAAGATTTTGCAATACATTTGTTACACAGTATCTCACTTCAAATACACTGTTCAGTTTTGGGCACCTTGATTCAAACTCCTTACGGGTATAAACCACATCAGCTCAAGGGCTGTCTTCAAGATCAGTGGCAACACAGGGACCCAAGGACATAAGTGAGAATTAAGCTTAGAGATTGTTGTGTCATATAAATGACAGCATCCTGCTGTCTGTGAAAGAAGAGCCGTTTATTTCATATGCATACGGGAGAGCAGCCTGCACCAGCCGGTCTCTCCGAACGGTTATAAAGTTAGTCCTTTTATACAGTGTGACAAACAAACAAAGTTCGGTGTAGACAACACACAGAGCAATATCCTAAACAAATGTTAACACACAATGTTCTTGAGCTGGGTTAACGGACAAACCATTTTATATATGATACGTTTTAGAGCACGGCTTAAGAAATGAGGATATGTGGCCAACGTTTCATAAGGTGTTGTGCTCATGTTAGTCATACTGAATTAGCACATATCCTCGTGATGCTTGCAGACGCACAAAGGTGAACAGTTTAATTATTTGCCTAGAAGCAAGAAAGATTAAAGAAGAGTAGTTTAAAATTTCTTAATTCCTCAAGACATTTAAGAACAGTAGACACTGTTTTACACATAGGATTGTGGGAGTCTCCAGAATATGAGGTTGAAGATGTTTTCTTGAAAAAGGGTTAAATGAGACAATCCTTCAAAGATTAAACCACTAACTCCCTAACAGGTAAACCAAGTGTCCCCCTTTCATTTGTAATCTTGCTTATTTTCCACCATTCACCCATTAACAGAAGCCCACTACTGCAGCCATATTTACAGGAAGATGTTCTTGCACTCAAATAGAGATACTGTATATGAAAAGGTACTGTACTACTGCACTATGTAATGAGCTTTAGTTTTACGAAGACAATATAAATTAACAGTGGAAATGGTTGTCGTTAACAGCAATTGTGCTTAATGCAGGTGTATGTACAGGTCCCAGCTGCACAGGTTACACACACCATTCATCCTGTTTTCCAGCTTTTTTTCTCCGCATGAGAAACTGACGTGGGAAATTTGCAGAGCACTATGCGAGTCCTTCATAGGCCAATTTGAGAGATTTTTGATTCCATACCATCCACCAGCAGTCTGTTTTTACCTCTCCATATCAGTGTGGTGAAAATCGAGGAGCAGAAAATTCTTTCTGGATTATGGCCCTCAGCTTGATGGTCTCCAGGAGGCTGCAGGAGAAGCAAGTCGGGGCAAAGCAGAGGGTGAGTGCCTCAGGGTCAGAAGGCCATGTCATGGATCCAATACCCATGAACTCAGGGTGACTTTAAGGTCAAAAACACTCTTTGCTTCAGAAATGCACATTGCAAATGTGTGGGCACATTTAAAATCCAAACCAAAATGAGAAATAAGATGAGAAAATGTCCCCACAAAAACAAACGACAATGTAGGGACAATCCAACAAGGTGACTCGCAACCAGCAAAGTTCTTCAGAAGGAACAGTGAAACACAAACCAGAGGACAAGTGGAAACAAAGTGCTTTTAAACCTGAAACAAGAGGCACGGCTTTCACCACATGGTTAGGGAATCTGAAACAAACGGCCTAGTCACGTCGTTGAAGTCGATACCCTGGCTTCTTTCAAGAAAGACCTAGATGAGGTCCTAGAATAAATTAACTACTGTGAAACAGGCCAAATATGCTGAATGACCTAATCTTGTTTGTAAGTGTTCTTATCTATAAATCCCCAAAATATTTGTTTTAGATCGGCTTTCAGTCTTTGTGGAGATTTGTTCAATGGAGTACAGAATAGTAAATTAAAAATGGAATGAAAGTCAAGAGAAAAGTCCACATAAAGACAGCAATACAAATGTGTGTGTGTGTGTGTGTGTTTTAAAGAGGGAAAGCTAACAAGTTCACAGTACGATGAGAAAGCAGATTCTGGAAAACATGACTCTATATGGCATGCACCTGACATCAGCTCAGCCCTAATAAAGACAAGGTTATCAAGGGTATGTTCCATAAATCTAGAACATATTACTGTTTCTGACATTCACAGTTAGATGTTATCTCTTCCTTAATACTAAGATTACAACAAAGAGAAAATGTAACTGGACAGTACTCTGAGGCTTCTCCATAGTGTGGGTTTTCCACACAATAGTCAATTTTCTCTCCAAATTGACTGCAGACAAGTATTATTCTACCACATAATGAAGAATAATATACCTTGTACCCATGGACTGATATTAATTAAAAGGTGTCATCTTAGGGTTTTCAATGAATCAGCCAATAAAGGTATTTGTCTTGTCTGGGATACAGACAGTTCTAAGAATGCTGCCATGTCAGGCCTGGGTCATGTCACTAGCTGAGGGTGGCTGGGAGTCCTGAATGAGGACACACAGTTGACTGTGTGTTGGGGTTGGGTGGGTTTTATTTAGGCGGGAGTTGCACTTTGCTAAATCTGATCCTTTTCTACTAAAATCATTCAGTGAAACGGCCCACTCTCCCAGCGAGTTCCTCACCGGGCCTCTTCTGACCCCTTTACTGTATGAAAGGTAAGTTTGGACAGGAGCAGGGGGAGTGCTCATTAACCTCCTTCAACATGAAATAAAGAAACCAGCCAGTTTGGACACATATACTGCAGCTCTGCGAAAGTCTGAGAAAACGCAATGTACAGTAAATCACAGAAACATGTACAAGCAAAAATCTGTTCTTCATTCATATGATTCAAAGGAAAAGTCTTCATAAAATATTTAGCACCATTTATGCTACATTTCTACCTCTCAAAACAAAGGCTTATATAAGAATAGTTTATAGGACCTATTCAGGAATCTAGTTTACGGGTTATTAAACATGCTATTAAAGAGGTAGCTGTTTAGAGAAGGTTCTTATTTGGTTCTGAAACATTATGGCATTCTTTTCTTTTTTTGAAAAACTGCCTATAGTGAATCGGACCTTTTATGTTTATCAGACTAAAATATGCACAATGGTTTATGAGGGTTATGACAAGGCTGTGCATGTGTAATCTCGGTATTACTGACCTTTGATATGCATAGTCTTTAAAGATATGCAGATAAGATTCATAAAAAGATAAAAATAGTTCAGTTCTTGCCTCACAAATTTTATATAAAAACACAAAAACAATTCCACAGCCAACATTTAGAATACATGAAAACCATCTACATTAAAATAGATAAAAATGAAATAATGTCTTGGAAGACACAATTAGAAATTAGTTCGTAATTTAGCACAAAGAAAACACAAATAAGAAGCAAATATTCTCAGAACTGCAGTTTCCTGGTTTGAGAAATAACCTTTCCTACTATTCACTAGGGGGAAGCTGTGTTCAATTAATTTAGAAAAGATGTGATGACTAAAGTGAAATGTCTCAAATCAAAGGTGTATGGAGACACGCTGGGGATCTAGTCCAGGTGTGACTGTATGGAAACAGGCTCGGGATCTAGTGCAGATGTGACTACATGGAAACACGCTGGGGATCTACTCCAGGTATGACTGTATGGAAACACGCTGGGGATCTAGTCCAGGTGTGACTGTATGGAGACACGCTGAGGATCTAGTCCAGGTGTGTTTGTATGAAGACACGCTTGGGATCTAGTCCAGGTGTGACAATATTATGACATGCTATGGAAACAGGCTGGGGATCTAGTGCAGATCTGACTACATGAGACATACTGAGGATCTAGTCCAGGTGTGACTGTATGAAGACACGCTGTGACATTAGGGTTGAAGAAGCGGACCACTATTTCTGTTGCTAAGCAACAGCACTTGGAATGCACTGGGCAGAAGCTGAGCTCATGGAGGAGTTAACGCCTTGGAGAGGTCTATCTTATTCTAGTTTCACTCACAGGCCTCATCTCAAATCACATGACTAAATAACTTTGTACACACCACTGCAAGGCTGCCCTTATAAAGCCTTGCAATTCTTAGTTTCCCTGAGAACACTCTTTACACAACATACAGTGAGAGGGTGGTCTCCTGGCGCCACAGTAAAGCTGATCAATTCCACTCCGCTGTCTGTGGTGGCTTTGTGGCCTGGCCTACACAGCCTCTCTTCAG